ACATGTGGTTAAATGCAAGAGCAGTGATGGCGAAAGACGTTTCTGTGCTCAGAGACAGGAGGCCTCTCAATGCTGGGTGCTGAGAGAAACCTAGTGGGAAGGAGAGGAGGGTTTCATGGCCTGTGCATAAACTAGAAGCAGCTGAATACAACTGGACACAAAAGCAGTTTCTGAGTTGTGAATATGGCATTCATTTGAGGCAAGACTAGATGACCACACTGTCTCCCTGCAATTCGGTCTCTCTCTCTCTCTGCTTTCCTTTTGTGCATTTTCTAACAGCAGCCTCTTGCTAGTTTTCCTTCCTCTGGCGCTCTGAAGCCAGGGGGATCACACGGCATGCTCGTTACTGCCTCTTTTTACGCTCTCCCTGCAAGCCCGATGAGGCTCGCCGTGGCTTTTTAATCCCTGCAATTAACACAGAGCTCATGCTTAATGTGCCTTCCCTTTGAGCAGGGCACATCACGTGTCCATCTGGGATCTTGTTCAAATGCCGTGTGCCCCACGTACGCTTTCTCTCCTCATGTGCTCCCTCTCTCGTCTGCAGAATCCGAGATTTTCAAGGCAAGGGCTGCAGTTCCAGAACCCAAGAGCCAAGCTCTATAGAGGGAGGCTCAGCTTGTGGTTTTGCCCCTAACTGAACAAGTGGGACCTGCAGCCAAATGTTCCAGTCTATCCTTCCCTCCTAACAGGAGCTTTCCTCATGCCCTCTGCCAGGATACTCCATTCCATCTCCAGTTTTCCTTTTCCATTCCTACCCATTATTGATTTCCAGTTTTCAGTCAGCATTTTTGAGGCTACTCAGCAACCTTTGAAAGTTTTAAAGGGGTTTTGCCCCTTAGATTTTCTTTCCTTACTATATTTGTAGAGTAAGGTGTCACCCTGAGTCTTGCTTCTGCTTGCTTTACAGCGGGCCCATTTTAGGCTACAATCTGTTGACACGCAGCAGCTGAGGTACATTTTCGAGGGATGGAGGTAGATGGAGAGAGATCCACAAAGTTGCCAACTGGGGAAGTGCTAGATCCAATTATACCCACCAAGTTAAGTAAGGCTGGATCTTAATTCTTGGAAACGCGAAGCAGCATCTTAATTGATTTGCCTTTAGCAATTGATCGAGGCAAAGGTGGGAAACCTTTTTCAGGTGGATGGCCACATCCCCTTCTTCGCAACCTCTGGAGGACCAGATGCCAGGGGTGGGCGGGGCCAGAGCCAAAAGTGGGTGGAGCAATGAATGTAAATTTTACAGGTGGCTAGTTTATCCAAACTGCCTCTCTATCCTCTATGTGAACAAGCAAGAGGCATTATCAGTGTCCAAGGACACAATCCAGCCTAGCAAAATCCATGGAGAGTTCAAGGCAGGGTCTGGTGAGACTGATGGGTGGGACTTGACATTGCCCATCAACAGTTAAACACTTGGACCGAGCTAGCACACAGCTAACCAAGCCTCCAACTTTTCCGCTATGTTGACATGACTTGCTATTTAAAGGCATTCTAATTTTGCATCTACCCATATAAATCAGCATAGGCACATTTTATGCAAAACTGTGGCATTTCCTGATCTCTTTTTCAGGTGATACATTTCCCAGTTCTTGGCAATGGCTAAGTGGAAAGACCCTAGTCCCAGACTCTCAAGGACAAGTCCCAGTTTCCTGTTTATTTTTTTCCTCTTTAAGATGTCTTGCTAAAGTGTGAACAGTTGTTGTGTTATCCTTCAGGGTTCAACAGCTAAACTTTACTGCCTCGGGGTTTCTTAGATGTTCGGTTTCCTGCCATCTAGAGCACATGTATTTCAATGCCCATGCTTGTCTACAAGCAGAGCAATCCTAAATATAGGAAGCCAGAGGGATTCATACCGGTTTAAATTAAACTGGCATAAATTACCCCTGTTCCAAGCTTCTGCCACTTGGCCTGAGCCCATCTGGGCCTGGCAGAGGGGAAAACAAACATTTAAATAGAGTTTGACTAACACCATCCCTTTTTTGCTGGCATTAGTTCTGCCAGGTTGCCAGGTCACATGACTGAACTGAACAGAGTTAGGATCCAAGGTAAGTCCCCTCTGCCCAGTCCCTCCCCCAGAATGCCCACTTTTCAGGGCTTACACTGGTATAAGATTCAGCAGTCCCAGCTCAGCCAGATAAGCCAGGGTGAGGGATTTATGCTGGGGTAACTCTAACTGTGGGTTAAACCACAGAGCCTAGGACTTACTGATCAGAAGGTCGGCGGTTTGAATCCCCGTGACGGGGTGAGCTCCCATTGCTCAGTCCCTGCTCCTGCCAACCTAGCAGTTTGAAAGCACGTCAAAGTGCAAGTAGATAAATAGGTACCGCTCTGGCAGGAAGGTAAACGGTGTTTCCATGCGGCTGCTCTGGTTCGCCAGAAGCAGCTTAGTCATGCTGGCCACATGACCCGGAAGCTGTACGCCGGCTCCCTCGGCCAATAAAGCGAGATGAGCGCCGCAACCCCAGAGTCAGCCACGACTGGACCTAATGGTCAGGGGTCCCTTTACCTTTACTTTTAACTCTAACTGAGTTGAGATGAGGGGCTTGTGCTGTCATAGCCCACCAATGCTGGGACTGGTGGAGTGAGCAGGGAATGTATCAGATCCTAACTCCCTTTGCCTGGCGGATCTTGGGTTTGGGTTGTCCCCTAAGCCACCACATCTCACATTACACTTGATGGAAGGATATTGAATGGTGCCTAATGGTCAATAGCAAGGCAGGGGAATTCCCCACTCCAAGCATGCGTTTAACCAAAAAGATAAACAAGTCTTTGCTCTGAAATCAGCAGAGAGCAGCCTGTTGCATGAATATAGCAGAGAGGGTAGACCTTGAGTCAGGAATGGGAAACATCTGTTGCTCTCTAGATGTTGATAGACTACAATTCCATCATCCCTTTGATAACCTGAGCCTCAAGGGAGCTGGACATCACAATGATATCTGAAGGGCCACAGGTTCTCTGCTCCTAGTGGACTGACTTTAAGCTCATGGGATCTTGGTGCAAAAGAATGGCTCAAAAACACAGGTGTAGAATTACAGAATGTGGCCCCCTCCCAAGTTGGTGTCTTCTGCAACACCTTCTTGATGCAGTAATAGTGCATTGGTGAGTGGAGAAATCGTGCTTTGTTCGATGTTCTATGATGCTTCCCGAGCGATGCCACATTATTGCTATCCAGAGGGGCTGTAGCGCAGCAAAGGCGGGACCAAAACAAAATGGAACAGAATATTTGTAGGGTGGGAAATTACAGCATATGCACTGAATGGAAATTCAGCCAGGTGGTTGCCCCAAAGCTTTTGCAGGCACAAATTAGTATTGAAAGGGAGGTTATGAACAGCCTGATAGCATTGTGAGCGTAAATTATCATGGATATGCAATAAAAAAGGACATCTGGGAGACCCTAAGAGGCCTCTGAGAACAAGCTCAGTTTGTATGCAGTAACATAACTGGCACTTCCACACAAATTGTTTCACAGGCAAATCTACTCCTGTTTTCTTGATTTCAGCAGCCTAATATTATTATTTTTTTAGCCATGGGGGTCTTTCTGATGTTGATGTTTTTAAAACAGTTCTGAGTCAAATATCTTTGCTGATCTTCTTCCAGTAGACCCCACTCTACTTTCTGCCCATCCCTGCCTTAAGTAATGTGTAATAGCAGAAGTAGTAATTTTTGGGATGAGGCCAGGACTCTTACAAGCATGTTCCTGTTTTCACATGCAGAAGATTAGATGGTATTGGTTTTCAATCAAGAAAGGAGTTATCCAGTTTCTTGGCAGATCAATCAATACGGACTTTTGTCATGGAAGTCATAAAATGTAAAAGGGGGGGGAGGAACCAACCAGCCCTAATGCAGTGTTTAAATGGGAAAATTTGGGCTACCAAATTCAAATCCTCGCCCAACCATTAAATTTGCTTACTTAGACTGATCTAATCACTATCTTTCAGCTTGTTTTACCTTGCAGGGCTGTTATAAGGATAAAATGAAACGAGAACACAAGAACTTTCTTTTCTTTCTCTTTTTTTTCTTTCCTTTTTTATTATACATTTCAGAAATAGCCCTGTGCAAAGGAGTGCAACATACACGATATTTATAAGTAAAGGAAACAAGACTACCCATTGAAAGGTCATTCCAGAGTTTATGCGAAGAGAACGGCAAAAAAGTATTTCCTCACTTGAAGAGGCATTTCCCCTCTTGTTTTGCAGGTCATGCAAAAAGTAAGTAAAATTGAAGTACAATCAGGAGAACCAGAAAGGAAGAAAGGAGAAAATGGAGGAGACTCCGAAAGTCAGCTTCCCATAGGTATGTGTGTGTTTCACGTAAAGAGATCAGTAAAGAGCCTTTATAAAGAAGAGGATTATTCAGGTACAAAAATGCATCTTTACGTGGACTCAAAATCACAAAAATGGGAAAAGGGAAAAAGAATAATGCCTTTTGGCATTTCAAAATATTTGGCACACTTGTCACTGTATTGTGGTTTGGGATGGGGTTTTTTTTTTGCTTTTTTTTTTGCAGGGTGGGGTGTTTTTTGTGTAACAGAGAATAAAGTCACAGTTTTTTTAAAAAAGAAAGAAAGAAAGCAGTTAGCCCACGTTGCTTGCTTGTGGTCATTAGAAAAAGTGATGCACATCTTTTGTTTTTTCTGCCCCCATTTCACATATAAAATTAAATTTCTCTATCTCCTTAAGAACAATTGCCTCCTGCAACAGTGAAATACCAGATTTGCAATCTGTTTTCAGAAAATAATAATACTGAGAGAATTTCTTCCCTGTAGAATCCCTTCCTTAGAAAAGTTTTGGTTCCGTACATTCCACTGAAACTTTAAAAGGTAGCTAGAATTAAATATAGATATAGATATATAGATATATGCTTATAATTATAATTATATATCATTATTTTCCCCTCCCTTTCCCCACCCACATTCATAAATACAGACATTTTCTTTTAAAAAAATGGAGATGGAGAGCATATTGTATGGAAATGTATGGAATTGTTTTTGCAAGATTTTACCATGTAAACAAGTGCTTGTTCAGAACAAGTATAAACAGTGACACTTCCCAAGATTTCCAAGAAAACACTGCTAGATTCCCTGCCTTTTTTCTGTTCTGTATGTTTAAGGGACTTTTTAAAATCCAAATTCCCAATTACTCATCATCCAGAGGAAAAAAAAGGGGAGCACCAGTCTTAATTTAGACAACTGAGCTCTTCTTCGTACATTTCAATTTGTACGGTTTGCATTTTACAGTTCCTGGAATCTAGTTGGGATTGGATTTTTTATTTTTTATTTTTATCTTTTCACACATGAGTAAAACTCATCTCACACCGTCTGCCTCTGAGCCTGCTCCTAAGGATTTCGCAAGATGGGTCACAGGATAGCAAGGAATAACTTCAAAGTGCTATTAGTTTGCTTGCCTTTTTTGTTTTTTGTTTACCCAATAATAAAAGGTCAATCATTTTCTTCCCCCTCTTTTTCACTCAGTGTCTCTGTGGAAAGATTTAAACTCCCGGAGGTGGTTTCTCTGAAATGTTTTTGAGGACATCATCAATTCTGTCATCTTCAATGACAACTGTAAGCAGATAAAAAGAAAAGAAAGCAGAGCATTTAAGATTCTATGAAGCTTCCATTATTTGGATTTTAATTGCTGACATCGCCCTATAGTAAAAAGCCACAGGGTGGGGCGGGGCTTTAAAATGGGTGATAAAATGAGAAAGGGACAAATGTGAACCAGAGATCTGAAGTTCTGTAGCTGACAGTCCAAAGAAATGAGCCCTGCATCAGATTAACAATTTATCCCAGGTCTTGTACAGGAGAATTACCTGGTGGATTTGTCTCAGAGCGAATTAGTGGGAGTGAAAGTGTGTGAGTTGAATTTACATCCATTTACTCACCTTGAAAACCATCATTTATCATTTGCAATTATTTTTAATCCCTCTTCCACGCAAAAATAAAATAAAAATTAATCTCCAGTCACACTATGTCCAGTAGGGGATCATTACCTAGTGAGTGAAATTAGAGTTGCAGTCACAAAACGTTTTTTACTTGTGACTCAGAAAATCTGCTGTCACCCTCCCCATGACTGTAGGGTGTGTACGTACATGTACACACACACACTCCTTTCTGAAAAGATGATTTCAGTCCAAATATGTGCTGTTCTTTCCAGAGGAGTGCCTGCAAAGTTTATCACTGAGAATCTGCTCTTTCGAAGGTCACAAAATCTACAACCTCAAAGGTGATATATAGAGTATCAAATTAAGATTCTTTTTTGTAAGCAAAACAAAAAAGCACCGACTCCACCAAAAAACATGCAAATGAAGTCCCAGGTTAGCTAGTGCCATTACTATCCTAAAATTAATTGCAGGATCAGAAGCACAAAGAGACCACACACAGACACACCCCTTCAACTCATTATAATTAAGCCCTAATTATGTTGGGTGAGACCCTCCAGTCTCAAGGAAAAACGTACAGTAAGCGAGTCGAAAGCTGTAAGTGGAAAGGGCCCATTGATGACCGCTGTCCCCTACTGGGGTCCTATTTTCCTTCCTCTGCGCCCACCTCTCTAAAATCTTAAATTTGAACGTTGGTACCTCCAACCCATTTCCTCTCTCCACCAAATCATTTGACAGAAGTGAACTGGATCTAAGGATTCAAGAGGAGACAGAGGTCCTGCCTTTCAATAATACATTTCCCAACTCATCACCTGGAGCAGAGTGCTGTGCACCTCCAAGTCTTACTACTGTTACGTCAATAAGAATCTCAAGCGGAACCCACTGGGGACCTGCACATGGGTGAAAGGGGTGTCATGGTTTCTGTGCAGCGGGCCCACCTACTTGGGGTGGGGTCCAACCCCCCCCCCACACACAAAAATGGAGAATGGCCCAGTCTATAACCTCACACCTCTATATTATTGTATTTCCAGACAGCCATGCTGTTCCAGCAAAAACAACGGAATAGACTTGTGGCACCCGAAAGGCTTACCTATTTATTTTGGCATAAGCACTGCGCACCAAAACAAACTGAAGTGCCACAAGTCTCTTGATCGTTTTAAACATTGTTCTTGACCATCAGCAGCCAAAGTTGTTGTAATTACCACCACAGCCTTCCTTCCCTCACTGCCTAATTTCCCACATTTTAGATTGTAAGCGCTTAGAGGACAGTGACCAATCTCAATCTCTCTCTCTCTCTCATATGCTAACATACACCGAGGACACCAGCAGGAGAAGAAGAACTTCCAATTTCAGCAAATTCATTTGACTCCAGATATTTTTGCTTCACTGGGTCTTATAGGGACTGTGAGAGATAGGAGCACATGGGAATGGGAGACACACAGACTTCTACTCCATATTATTGACACTGCGGTAGGAGCTTATGGAAAACCAGTTCTTCGGTAAATGAGTGTCAGATATGTGTGTGCATGCCCTTTTCTTGCACAGAGAGAGGAAGGGTGATTTTCACTCAGCACTTTGGCCCCATTGAAGCCCCGATCAAAGGCCCTTTCCCAGCACTGCTGCAGAGAGTGCAGAAACTCTTCCTGGACAGGAGTTGCATGCATTGGGCTTTAAATCCCGCCTCCTCACCTGACCCTCACCTCACAACCATCTTTGGGAATGGGTACTCCTTTTATTTATTTTTTAAGCTTCTATCCTTTTGACACACACAAGCACACATCCAGCCTGCCTTGGGCATGTTTCTTAAGATTAAATTGCCAGGTCAAGGACCCCCCTGCTGCGGGTGCTTCTGGATCCAGGATATGTGGATGGGGTGAACAGCTAAAAGTCTGCGGAGGGACGGAGGGAGAAGGAGAGCAGAAAGGTTTGCATGGGCTTAGCGCAGAGAAAAGGCGAGGGGGTGAACGGGTGCAGGGTTAGGAAGAATTAACAGTTGCAGATTGCGTACAACATCAGTCAAACGCAGGGTGGACCCACTGAAATGAACGGACCACTTAAGTCGATTCAATTCAATGGGTCGTCTCTGAGTTAAAACATATTAAGAACTACGGCACAAACAAGTTTCACCCCAGCTGTTGTGCAAGGAAGTGGTTTTGGAGAAAAAGATGGATCATTTTTAAGGGTGTATTTATCTATGGGAAGGTGCTTTAAGCCGGGGTCCTATCTAATTCAGAATCAGATAAGGGCACAGGAACTGTTGCGAACATAGAAACACTGGAAGCTTCCTTATATCATGTCAGGCCGTTGTTTGATCTGGCTCTATTACCTACACTGACTGGCAGCAGCTCTCCAGGTTTCAGATAAGGGAGCTCCCTCTCCCTACCTGGAGATGCCAAGAACTGAACCGGGGAACTTCGACATTGAAAGCAGGTGCTCCATCTCTGAGCTGTGGCCCGTCCTCTAAAAACAAAGCAAGATGCCCGACCTCGTGGCTCTAATCAAGGGGCCGGTTTTAACAGAAGCGCTGAAAGTCAGGTCGCTGGTCTATCTAGCTTAGGGTTACCTACACTGACTGGCAGAGGCCCTTCAGGCTTTTGGACAGGGTACATTCCCAGCCCTACCTAGCGATATTTGGGGGGGGGGAATGAACCCTGGATCTTCTGCATTCAAAGCAGCTGCTCTGTCGTTCCTCACTGCTGCGCTCCCAGCACATCGAGGGGGGGGTGTATGTGCTCCTATGGAACATGATGAGGCTTACTCTCGAGTAAGCACACCTAGGACTCCGCCATGGGAGCTCCTGGTGGTGGGAGAACCCAGAGAAATTGCAAATAAGGGTTTGTAACTAAGGGGATGCAAGCTCTCACAGGCCACCCCACTCTCGGAAAAGTTAAGAACTTCCACAACTTTGGGGGGCAAGGGGCCCAGCAATTTGCCTCAAAGCAATGGGGAGGCTGGGGTGCAGTTTCCAAGCGCGTCCAACGACAGCCTCCCCCCGCCTGCTGCTCCCCTTTTACTCCGCGTCTACCCCGCATGTGCCCCGCATCGCTGCCCCGCTGCGCTCACCGCATTTGCTCCTGCCGATCTGCCCCAGCTTGGGGGGCCGCTTGGTCTGCCCCCCCGCGTAGAAGTTGTTGGTGTCCTGCAGGCGGCAGGTGAAGGAGATCTGCCCCACCTCGCCGCCGTCCCCGTAGGGCCCGATCTTCTCCTCGCTGTAAGGCAGCACCTCCGACATCGTCGCTTCCACCGAGGCAGCTCCCGGGAGAGCGAGGCAGGCAGGCGGGCGAGACTGCAGCGGCGGCAAGTAGCAGCTCCGGGAGGGCGAAGTCCCTCAGGCAGGCCCGCAGGGGTCGTGTCCGGGGTGCGGCTGGTGGCAGAAGTAGGATCAGGCGCAGGGGGGCCCCGGGAAGCTCCTGGGGGGCTGCCTGGCTAGGCTGCGGCTCCTTGCCTAGCCTGTTTTTGCCTGGTGCTTGCGCGCTCGCGGCTCGGGAAGGTGCGCAGGGAAGGTGCTCAGCAGACTGGCAGGCAAAGCCCAGCGAGGAAGAGACAGGAGAGGGAGGAGAGGGAGGGCGGGGAGGAGGAAAAAGGCAGAGATCCCTGGAAAAGCTACAGCGTCAGAGAGGGAGGAGGAATGGAGAGAGAGAGAGATGCATGCAGCTTGGAAAGTGTCTCACTCTTCTCTCATCCGTGTCTCCCTGCGCTCATCCGTGTCTCTAAGGAAGAAAGCGCGTCGGAAAATTCCTGCGCTCTCCTTATCTCGCGTGTTCATCTCGGACCAGCTGCTCGCACGTCTTTTTGCAACGGCGTTGATCTTGCAGCCCATGCTTGCTTGTTTTGAAATGTTGCAGCCCAGCCTGCAGAGCTTCCTCTGTGACTCCCGGAGACTAGCATGCTCACGTTACGGTTACTGTGAGCAGCAGCCCAAATGCATCTCTTTTTCGTCATTTTTTTTTCCCAAAAGGAGAGGGGTGGGGAAAGAAATAAAACAACAGTAGATTACCCTTTAAGAAACAGCAGCAGCAGCAACTCAGGACACCCCTTGTCCTGCCTTGTTGTATTTGTTGGCCAAATTTTCACCAGCTGGCAAGAAAATAATGGTATTTGTTTTACAATCTGCTTTGCTGCCCTGTCAGCTCAGCATCCTCAGGGCAGATTATGGTAATCGATATTTTAAAAACGAGTACAACAACTTGTGTACGTGTGAGCGCGCGCACACACACATATTTATGCACTCCTTCTTCTGTTTGTGTGAATGCTTGCATGAATAATTTTGCCAAATGCATCTATGGTGTTTTCAATGGCTGGTTTGGCTAGAAAATAATTGCATTTATTTCTATTAAAACTTCCTATTGCCACCCTTCAGTCCCACTACCCCAGAGTGGCCGGCAATAAATGAATTTAAATATAAAATTCTATTATTATTATTTTTTTAAAAATCATAGCTCTCCTCATCCCTGTGTGTTGCGTTCCTTTGCCCAGTGTATCTATTGTGCTTTTAGCAGCTGGTTGTTGTTTTTTTCCCAAGGAAATAGCAGGTAATATGACATGAAACAAACATTTTAAAAAATTTAAGTGCAACTCAGTACACAAAGTGTAAAACAATCACAACAATTAAAGTTAAATAGCAGGAAACAGGAAATACGTGGCAGCTTGCACAGAACCAGCATCCCCAATGGCAGTAGTTGCTGTCAGCTGGAGAAGCGAGCAGCCAGGGTCAAGTCCCAACTCTTGCTCTGCCTCGTTCAGACTAGCCTACCTCACAGGGTTGTTGTGAGGGTAAAGTGGATGAGTAGAGAGCTATAGATTGTACAGTGGTACCTCGGGTTACATACGCTTAAGGTTACAGACTCTGCTACCCCCAAAATAGTACCTCAGGTTAAGAACTTTGCTTCAGGATGAGAAAAAAAATCGTGCTCCGGCAGCGTGGCAGCAGCAGGAGGCCCCATTAGCTAAAGTGGTGCTTCAGGTTAAGAACAGTTTCAGGTTAAGAACGGACCTCTGGAACAAATTAAGTACTTAACCCGAGGTACCACTGTATCCAGCTCAGTTCTACATGGAAATTATGGACCCAAGTTAGCGAAGTCCATCCATTGCTGTTGGGTAACTCTGAGAGGTACCAACATTGGCTACAAGCTACAAACACACGAAAATGATCCTCAGCATTTCGGAGGGGGAAAACAGGATAATGTCATTTCCCAAAGCGTCTTTGCATTTCTGCAGTACTCTGAATTGGCCAATCTGCTTGCCTTTCCCACGCAGCAGGGCTAAATTTAAACTGGAAGTTCATCCTTAAGACGCTGACCAGAGGTAGGCCACTGTTCCATTGACCTCAGTGTTTTCTGCACTGGCTGGCAGCAGCTTCTCAGGGAGTCTTTCCCAGCCCTACCTGGAGATGCCAAGGATCAAACATGAGACCTTCTGCATGCAAAGCAGGTGCTCTGTCACTGAGCCACAGTTCTCCCTCTAATGCCTTGTAATGTCGTAAAGAAGAGGTTGTTCCAGGGCATGTGCAGAGTGCAGTGTTATGTGAGCTGGACTCTCATCCCATGCTGCCTTCCCTGCTGCATGCATGTTGTGGCCGGGGAGGGGGCAATTTATTAAGCACACCTGAAAGGAGCAAAGAAAGTCACTTGTTTGTTTGTTTATTTATTAGTAGGTTTACAAGCCGCTTCTCAGTCACCAGGTGGTTTCAAGAAAATAAAATTTAAAACAACACACACACACACACACACACACACACACATTAAAAGCACAATCCATAGCAAAAAGAAAGCGCCCCAAAACACAGCATATGTGCCAAATCAGAACAACTAGCACCCTAAAAGCACAATGAAAAAGAAACCTGTTTTTATAGCACTTTGACGGGGACATTTGGCTGGCAAGGCTGCTCTTAAGTCAGAAGTTCAGACTTCAAATATCCATGACAGAAATCATTAGTATTTATTCCATTTATACGCAACTCTTCCTTTTGGAGGAGCCGGGGGGGGGGGCAGACACGACAATGATAAAACACTTAAAAACTAACCAACAGTGGAAACCGTTTGGAACTATTCTAAAAAAACCGAAACATATTAAAGCATTTTCAACCAGTGATCTTGGGAACAGTGTCTTTCACCATTAAATGCCCGGGGTAAATAGGAATACTTTAAAATTCTTCCTGAAAGTCAATATTGAGGGGGAAAGGTGCACTTCATTGGGGAGGGCATTCCTCAAATGGGGAACCACCACCAAAAAGGCCCTGCACCACCAACAAGGCCTCACCTGCCAATCGTAGGGTATTCAGATGATTGATATTGGGGAAATAGTTCTTGAAGGTACTTGGGTCCTAAGCATTTAGGGCTTTGTATGCTAGTTTTAACTCCTTGGATTTGGCCTGGTAGCTCTCTGGCAGCCAGGTAGGTGCTTTCAAGATGCACAATCCCACTGGGCTACCCCACATGCCAGAAATGTTCTGCATTCGCTGCAGCCTCCAGATCATCTTCAGGGTGTGCATGTTCTGAATGAAAAGAACATACATAAATGAATCATGTTAGGTTGAGAAGAAGAAGAAGAAGAAGAAGAGTTTGGATTTGATATCCCGCTTTATCACTACCCTAAGGAGTCTCAAAGCGGCTAACATTCTCCTTTCCCTTCCTCCCCCACAACAAACACTCTGTGAGGTGAGTGGGGCTGAAAAACTTCAGAGAAGTATGACTGGCCCAAGGTCACCCAGCAGCTGCATGTGGAGGAGCGGGGAATCGAACCCGGTTCACCAGATTACTAGTCCACCGTTCTTAACCACCACACCACACTGGCTCTATTCTTGCATTGCAGGGTGTTGGACAAGATTACTCTTAGGATCCCTTCCAGCTGTACAATTCTATGGTTCTAGTGGAAACAGCTTGCCCCCCCCCAAAAAAAAATCTATATTGGTCAACGCTACATAGAAAAAGTTGCATATTAAGAGAAATTTGCCAAGGAGTTTTCATGAGGTATCTGGAAATGGTTACGGAAATGAATTTAAGATTTGAAAGAGAGGCGGGGGGACAAAAATTGATGCATTGATCCATTGTTACTTGCTGCAGTGAACTGAAACACCCCCATACAGTTTCTCCTTTGGCTCCTGGTTGGCTGTGTAACTTGAGAGATCCAGTCTCAGGATGGAATCCTCCTAGGTGACTGAAAGGCATCGCTAACTGTGTTACAGCAAGGTGATGCAACCCCATGTCTACCTGAGACATCAGTTTCAGTTGTCAGTTTCCTACAGCCAGAAGGCAAAGGAAGCCAGGAGTTCTGTTCTTGGCCCAGCCTGTGTTGCCCTGCCCTGCCTCCATGTGTGAGAGATGTCACCTTATTCAGATGCAGGGAAAGACCTGCTGATCCCTCAAGCAATTTTTTTTCTCCTGCCCTCACTCCAAATAACAGAGACGAACCAGAGACTATTGAGAAGCAAAGCAGCTAGTAAGTCTGATCTTTATTAACTGTTGCAATAGGGTGCTCCTCCACACACAGGAGAGAGGATGAAGACCCAGAACAAAGGTGTGCCCGCCCTGACGTATACAGACATTTTAAATTGCCCGCCCTGGAGTCCACCCCCAGAAACATCATACATACAACACAGAAGGGGTGTAGCCCAAGACCACCCCCCAGATACATCATACCTACATCACAGAAAAGGCGGTCTACAACAGAAATCTGAGTGCATTGTTTATCTCCTGTCTGGCGAGTTACCTGATTGCATTATCTGGGTTTTGGCCACTCTTTTGTTATTATAACTACTTAATTCCTGAATCTAGGTCACAGGCTCACACCCTGTTCATATCTTGAATGTGCCCATAAGACAGGATTTGTGAGGAAAGAGACAATGGGGAGGTTTCCCTCTTGGACCTTGCAGAGAAATATTTGAGGTCAATTTGTTCAGGACCTAATCTGTGGGGTTTCAGACATGTGGTTTATATATACAGTTATGAATATATATATATATATATATATATATATAGACCTTAAAATTCTTATAACAACCAGAATACAACCCCCCTCAAATTGGGGGTTGCCTGCCTAAGCAACCCCCAATTTGCCTGATGGAGCATCTCCAACCTCATTGTTCACTGGGCCCAGCTCCGAGGGACTGGTGGTTCCTTCACTGCAGTTACAGGGAACAAGGCAGAAAGCCTCCTTGGCAGTGACAACCTCCCTGAGGAACACCCTCCCATCACATGTCAAGGCAATAAAGAACTACACAACTTTTAGAAGACATCTGAAGGCAGCCCTAAACAGGGAAGTTCTTAATGTTTGATGCTTTATTATGTTTTTATATAAGCTGGAAGCCGCCCAGAGTGGCTGAAGAAACCCAGTCAGATGGGTGGGGTATAAATACCGGTAATAAAAAGGATTATAACAGACCCTCCAAGTGTCCCTATTTTCCAGGGATAGTCCTGGATTTACAGAAACTGTTCCAGTTTCTGATGTGATCCAATGATGTCCCACTTCCCCTTAGGATGTCCCTATTTCCATCAGTGAAATGCTGGAGGGTATGGAGTTATCCAACCCCCGAGCCATCTGAAGGCAGTCCTGTACAGGGAAGGATTTTTTAAAAAATATTAAATGTTTTATTATGTTTTTATATATGTTGGAAGTTTCTCAGAGTGGCTGGGGCAACCCTGTCAGAGTTATATAAATAGTAACATTATTATTATGGAATAGAATGTCCCTGAGGGACGCGGGTGGCACTGTGGGTTAAACCACAGAGCCTAGGGCTTGCCGATCAGAAGGTCGGCGGTTCGAATGCCCGCGACGGGGTGAGCTCCCGTTGCTCAGTCCCTGCTCCTGCCAACCTAGCAGTTCGAAAGCACATCAAAGTGCAAGTAGATAAATAGGTACCGCTCTGGCAGAAAGGTAAACGGCGTTTCTGTGCGCTGCTCTGGTTCGCCAGAAGTGGCTTAGTCATGCTGGCCACATTACCTGGAAGCTGTACGCCAGCTCCCTCGGCCAATAAAGCAAGATGAGCGCCGCAACCCCAGAGTTGGACACGACTGGACCTAATGGTCAGGGGTCCCTTTACCTTTAGAATGTTCCTATCTTAATCGGAGAAATGTGGGAGGGTATGTTATTACTATTCATTGTAACAAGTAGAAGAATTAAACAGAAATGTTCGCTGGGTGGGCTCAAACTACCAACCTTTTGGTTAATGGCTGACCACACAAACTGCCTCACAGAGACATAATTGGAGACCAAAAAAAGGCACTGAGGTGCATGGCAAAAGAGCCCAGATAAAAATTGCCTTCCTTTCTGGTTATCAAGTCACTCATTTGACCAGTAGGGAGGAAAATATATCCACCCCCATCAGCTGATCTGCACATATCAACTGAGAAGAGAGGGCTGCTTGGTGTTTTTTTGTGGGGGGGAGTGGCAGCCACACACCCTTTCGACCCCACCCACCACTGATATGCACACACAAGGCGAGCCACCCCTGGGTCAGATACTTGTATCAATGCGCTTCCTCCTTCCTTCTCTTCCACAAACAATTCAAAGTGCAGGTTTAAAGCTGTATAAAGCAATAGTTGATATGCCTTTGACCACCTTGGGGGCAATGAGTTCACTCTGGGCAAATGGAAAGAGCTGTTCTCTGCTGGCCGTTTTCCAAAGGCATAACAACTTTCCGCTGCCGATGGGCCAAAGTACAGCCAAGATCTGGGAAGAGGAGCAAGCAAATAAAGGCTAGGTGAACCAGCTTTCATTTCCACGGCACAGATCCCTCCCAAGGATCCCACCTTACATCCCTTCAAACCTGGAGATATTCCTTTTCCCTGGATATGTAACTGCAGGCTCTGATCCCTCACCCAACTGCAAGGACTGTCGATAAGTATTTTAAATGCACACTGGCAGCAGCACACCTCATATTTACAGGCTGCTATCACCTCTGCAGCCCTTTCATTTTTGCACAGGCACCGCAAAGACATCAGCTCGCAAAGTCTGGCACCTTTGGCCAACGCTAAAATTCGCAAGTTGCATCAACCCATCACCACAACAGATTCATGTGATTTAAATGAACATTAAAGCAAGAACTTAATGCGAGAGGTTATTGGGAAACGGGCTGGGGAGGAAAACCACCCGCAGATTTGTGTTTTCCCACCCCAACCCCATCTCAATAAATGACGTAGTTAGAGATGGAAAAGATGCAGAACAATTTCCCAGGCCTAGGAGAAAAGGCTACAAGAGAGGTAGCCAACACGATGCCCTCTAGTTTTCGTTGAACTTCCACTCCCATCGTTCATGACACAATTCGCATTTATACAGTATGTGTCGGTTCAAATTTAGAAACTAGGACCACAAATTAAATAGACATACAACCCGTCTCCTTGCAGTGGCCAGGTGAGCTGTGTGCCCGTTTGGTCTGCTGTCCAGGTGTGGGTGAGCATCTTAGAATCGTAGAGTTGGAAAGGACCATGAGGGTCATCTAGTCCAACCCCCTGCAATGCAGGAATATTTTTGCGCAACGTGGGTCTCAAACCCATGACCCTGAGATTAAGAGTCTCATGCTCTACTGGCTGAACTATCCCAGCATAGGCCTCCCTTCATAAGGTTCTTGCTGTTTAAAGTGAACTTTGATTTTGGCAGCACCCACACTTGGGAAATCCCTGCCTATTGACATCAGAAAAGCGCTTTCACTGTACATTTTTCAGCACCTGCTAAAAATATTTTTGTGTAGACAAGCCTACCCAGATACGTAGAACATTTCAAGCTTCTTCTTTTTTTAGTTTATGGCTGATTTTAATTTTAAAAAAAATGTTTTAAATAGGTGTCCTTTGTTGTTGTTTTTAGTTTTTACCAATAATGTTATTGCTTTATTCTCTTTGTAAACAATCAAGGGGTGTATCACTTTTATGAAATGAATAAAATAAATAAAAGGGACATGCCTTCAAAACAGAGGGTGTGTAGGATGCATAGGAATGATAATTATCAGACTCCATGCGAGGGAAAGATTCCATCATTAGGCAGCAAATTGAGAATAAAACTGCCAATATCACAATGCCATTATACAAATCTTTGGTGCGGCTGCATTTGGAATACTGTGTATGGTTGGGAAAAGTTCAGAAAAGTGCAATCAAGATGATCAAGGGGATGAATCGACTCCCCTATGATAAAATGCTGCAGCAACTGGGACTCTTAAAAAAAAGAAAAAGAAAAAGCAAATAAGAGGTGAAGTTTATAAAATAATGTATGGCATGGAGAGAATAGAGAGAGACTTATTTTCCCCCCATAACACTAGAAGTCACGAACAGCCAATGAAGCTGAATGTTGTAAGATTCAAGACAGGTAAAATAAAGTCCTTCTTCACACAGTTTCACAAACTATGGAATTCCCGCCCCCAGGAGGCAGTGATGGCCAACAAATCAGATGGCTTTAAAAAGAGGATTTTTTAAACCATGGGTGGTTAGCAGTGCTGGATTTACGTATAAGCTAAACAAGCTATAGCTTAGGGCCCCGCTCTCTTGGGGGCCCAAAAAAAATTCAAAGGAAAAAAACTGGATGTACATTTCCAAAATTTAAGATAAAAAACAAATAAAATAAAACCTACATACAGCAACAGTGTTTTGTTTTGTGTAGGCTCCTATGGTGTGAGTAATGGCCCCTTCCTGCTAGCCTGCTCCCTAAAATATCACTGGTTTGCCTTTATAGAATATAGGGTGCCTATATTCTGCATGGACTGGGTGCATGGCAACATGTGCAAATGGCTTTAGATACCTATTAGGTCCATAAATTACCATATAACATATATTCAACACAAAAAATAGCGATGATTTGTTGCTGACAAAGGACAGCTGGACATAAAGGGCCCCATTACCTTCAATAGCTTAGGGCCTCATCAAACCTAAATTCGGCCCTGGTGGATCTGGCTACAAGCCATGATGGCTATTGCTCTGTCTCCACCGCCAGAGACAATTAATGCTTCTGTACACTAGTTGCTGGAAGCCACAGGAGGGGGAAGTGCTCTTGCATGTGTGTTGCTGCTTGCATTTCCCACAAGCGTCTGGTTGGCCACTCTGAGAACAGGGACTCTGGACTAGAAGGGCCTTTGGCCTCATCCAGCAGGCTCTTTTATGCTCTTCTCATTTTAACAGAAATAAAATCTCATCCTGGTGGGGAAGACCGTGACCTGTGTGCCTGACACAATCTGCCAGCCAGATGTTGATGGACATTTTCGAGGCCTCTCCTGCATATCCTCCACATATTTAAACCAGATTTGGACTGGGAAGTCCCAGAAGACATCTCCAAATAAAGGGCTGTTCTCTCTTGAGATCCCCTGAGATAGAGGACTGTCCTCTATAAAGTAGGGTACTTTGGAAAGTAGGACAACTGGGTGAAATGTAATTCAAGAGCATCTTAAAGGTATTTTCCCCAGGAGCTATCCTACCCCTGCTTCCCACAGGGAAATCTGACTCAGTTTTTCTCAAGCGTTTCAGGAGAAAGTTCTGGCTGCCAGCTCCCCTCAGCGTCTCCCGCTGAGGGTCCAGTAAGGAATAAAAATGACTGTCCCAGTTTCCCCATTTCAAGTCTCGCACACACAGAAATGTGTTTCAAGGAACCCAGCTTCCAAAAGCACTTGATGTAGATTAGAAAATGCTAGAAAAGGAACACTTTTATGAAGTCTAAATGCCTTCCCAGTCAGACTCTCCAAAGATCACATGCCTTCCCCTTATGCTTGAAAAAAAGTGAAAAGACTTTTCCCAAGCCTAATTGTTGGCCGGGATGGGAGAATAAGAGCAGGGGAATAAGAAACTGTGCATAGATGATTTCGCCACCCCTCATCCACACTGACAAGCAATGGTTCTGCGCAGGCAAGGATGTTTTCCCAGCCCTACCTGGAAATGCCAGGAAGCAGCCTTCAGCTTACCAAACATAGCTCTGTTCTCTCCCTGCCTCTCTCTGCCTCAGCTGCAGGTCACAGTCTCCAGATCACTCGCCACCTTGGGGAAAAAATAAGAAACCAAGACTGTTGGATTTGCCAGCCCTACCTATGAGTGGGGAGTCGGTGGGAGGGCGGAATAGAGAACCACGAGGTCTGTTTCTTGACCGCCACATTTCAGGTGCAAACATTAAGAGGGATTTATTGCCCTTACTCAAAAAACAACCAGCGTGGGTGGGCAGGAGGTGCAAGAAGAGCCGCCTGCTTACTTCTTAATTTAATTTGCTGCTCTATCATGCCTTGAAGCACTGTGTGCATTTAGCTGCCTCCTCACTGCCACACACACAAAGACCTCACATGCACACACCCCCAAACTTCACTTGGAAGAGAGTAAAACAAATATTTTCCATCTCGCCACCTAAGCTAGCAGATGGATCGGCCTGGGTTCATCTAGCACTTTAATATTATATATACACGCATATATATTATGGTTAAATAAGAGCAAGCAACATCATCGAGATTGCAAAGGCTCTGTCTCTCTCATTCCAGAGAAGCTAGTGCCATTTTTAAGCGTGAGGCTATTGGCTCGATGGATCCCACTTTTCACAACAGGTACATGAAGCATCAAGACTCCAAATAAGAAATTATTGGGGCAACTGTGTCTGCCTTCCACAAAGTGCCTGCAGAGAGGTTTTTTGGTTAGGGCAGGGAGGAAGGGTGTGCATTAGCCTTTTGAAAGGAGTGGGGCAAAATGCATACAGTATCATGGCCAAAGGTTGGGGGTGATGGGCAGTGGTGTCCAGCTACCTCTGAAAAGCTGCAGGTTCCCATTTCTGACCTAATTCCACATGGGGATGATAAGGACAGAGTGAATAGCTCAGTGGGTTAGAGCATGGTGCTGGTAACGTCAAGGTTGCAGGTTTGATCCCTGTATGGGACAGCTGCAGATTCCTGCATTGCAGGGGTTTGGACTAGATCATGGGTAGGCAAACTAAGGCCCAGGGGCCAGATCCAGCCCAATTGCCTTCTAAATCCAGCCCACAGACGGTCTGGGAATCGGCGTGCTTTTACATGAGTAGAAAGTGTGCTTTTATTTAAAATGCATCTCTGGGTTATTTGTGGGGCATAGGAATTCGTTCATTATTTTTTCCCCAAAAATATAGTCCAGTCCCCCACAAGGTCTGAGGGACAGTGGACCGGCCCCCTGCTGAAAAAGTTTGCTGATGCCTGGACTAGATGATCCCCAGGATCCCTTCCAACTCTAGGTTTCTATGACAAGCTTCTTGCAGTATACATTCACCTAAACGATCTGCAGAATCAGCCCTTTTACAAGGCCATATCACTTTGATTTCACACTTGTAGGGAATCCTTTGTTGTGGCAGCACCTACACTTTGAAACTCCCTGCCCATTGGTATTAGACAGATGTCTTTGCAGTACTGTTTTTGGTGCATGCTAAAAACTGCCCGCCACCGCCATGAATTTGTCTTATCCCTTTTAAAACTGGTGGCCATCTTACCTTGTAGGAGCAAACTGTGCACAGACAAAGTCAGAACATTGATCCCTCTAGCTCAGTATTGTCCACATTGACTGGCTGTAGCTTTGCACGATTTAAGGCAGGGGACATTCCCAAACCCACCCGAAAATGCCAAGGATTGAACCTGGAACCTTCTGCATTCAATGCAGGTGCTCTGCAACTGAGCCACCGTCCTCCCTCTAATGCCTTGCAATGTCAAGAAGAAAAGACTGTCCCTGGGCATGTGCAGACTACTGCACATGCAAGATGGATTCTCACCCATCTTGCCTTCCTTCACACCAGTCTCAAAATCCAGGAAAGATGGACGTGTGAAAATAACACACGCACACAAATACGGACCATTTGCATGGGATATTGTGCTTATTAACACTGTCGAAATATTTTTTGTGTTGTTGCTTCACTCTGGGACTGAAACAGGTGGCTGCCGAAGACACCCTCTTACTTGGAAAACAGATTCATAGGTCCAATAGTATCATCACCGTAGGAGTGAAACGGAGCGGCAGAAACAGAAATAGACCAGAGTGGCAGCTCTCTCTGCTTTGCTGTCCCTGTTTACCATCACACCTCTGCATCTTCACTTGGCGAAGGAAAGTCTGCCAGCAGATGGAGTTGTGGGCTTGCAGCGGAAGGTTGCTGAGCTTGGCCACCTGAGCGCAACCATCACGGTGATGCGTCGCCACCTAGAGTCCCAACACAGCATCTCAGGAACCACAAGGCATAGGTTCCCAAACAATACAGGGTTCAGGATTCATGCAGATCGTTTTAAGCTCTACAACTGGTTAAGGCATGGCAGTTGTACACACATCTGATGTGGTGTAGTGGTTAGAGTGCCAGAACTGGACCTGGGAGACCAAGGTTCAAATCCCCACTTGGCCATGATGCTCACTAAACCCTGGGCCAGTCACGGCCTCTCAGCCTAACCTACCTCACAGGGTTGCTGTGGAGATGGAGGAGGAGGAAGAATCATGTATGCTACCTCAAGCTCCTTGGAGGAAAACGTGAGATTCAAATGCAATAAATAAGGAAATGAAGTAGCTATCTCAGGTGATTGCGCCGGTCTTCTCCAGAGAGCAAACTGGATTCCTGCTTCCCATTGTTATGCCTGTCAAATTGTCACATGGAGAGCCAGCGTGCTGTAGCACATTAAGGTAAAGGTAAAGGGACCCCTAACCATTAGGTCCAGTTGTGGTCGACTCTGGGGTTGCAGCGCTCATCTCACTTTATTGGCCAAGGGAGCCGGCGTACAGCTTCTGGGTCATGTGGCCAGCATGACTAAGCCGCTTCTGGCGAACCAGAGCAGCGCACAGAAACGCCGTTTACCTTCCTGCCGGAGCGGTACCTATTTATCTACTTGCACTTTGACGTGCTTTGAACTGCTAGGTTGGCAGGAGCCGGGACCGAGCAACGGGAGCTCACCCTGTCGCGGGGATTCGAACCGCCGACCTTCTGATCGGCAAGCCCTAGGCTCTGTGGTTTAACCCACAGCGCCACCCACGTCCCTGCTGTAGAGCATTAAGAGTGCTGAAATAGGATGCGGGTGACCTAACTCAGGCATGAAGTGCACAGACAGTCACTCAGCCTAACCTGCTTCACGGGATTCTGATAACAGGATTCAAAACAAGGAATCATGCAATTGCATGGTGCATTCTTAAGTAAATAGCAGCAGCAGAGTGGGAAGATCTGGACCACAGGAAGCTCCTTTAACCAATCACACAGAGTTACTAACTCTGCATTCGTCGTCAGTTCTGTTTCAGCCCCAACAGAACCAGCCACCATCAGGAGTAGCCCACATTTCCGTGCGAGTCATTGTTCTGGGTACGCACTCGCTTGGAAGGAAGTCAGCTCTGCGCATGGACTTATGCAGAGATGTAAATGCACCTTCCCTGTTCTCTCACCTTGAGGTCGGCCAATCATACCCTGGACAAAGAAAAGGGTCAAAATATCATTGCAAGGCTATCTGGGAAGAGTTGCTAGAAACCGTGGAGTGTGGGCAGCGCGACAGAAAGTTCTCATTCTCGGGTCCTGCTTGCTGTTTCCCACAGGCATCTGGTAGGCTGCTGTGAGGACAGGATGCTGCACTAGGTGGGCCACTGGCCTGATCCGGTACAGCTCAGCTCACGTTCTTAGGCAAGTGCCAAAGCAGCGAGGACAGTGTGATTGTGCCTTGTGAGTCACATTCTGGGGATGTCACATATATGCAGGTACGTGCATACTTAAACCACCGCCGTGGAACTGTCGCAAACATCCTTACCCTTTCCAGAACTGGGCTCTGAGCAGGCCTTGCCCCCCCAAGCGGAAAGCTTTTAAGCTCAGACTTGCTTACCCAACCCTTGGAGGCTCTCGCGAGCTTTCGCAAGGTTGCCCGAGTTCCCGCCAGAGCCTCTAAGAGCAGGTAAGCAAGTCTGAGAGCTTGAAAGCTGTTTCTGGGCTGGGAAACCCCTGTGCAAGAACAGCTTCGAAGCTCTCCACCTTTGGAACCGATAGAAAGGAAGTTCAAACCCATCAGCCTCCTCCTCCTCTGCGAACCTGTAGCCCAGTAGTCTAGCCTTTTATATACAGAGCTGTAGCACCTCGTTTACATTGGATACACATACTGTATACTGGTACAGTGGTACCTCGGGTTACAGACGCTTCAGGTTACAGACTCTGCTAACCCAGAAATAGTACCTCAGGTTAAGAACTTTGCTTCAGGATGAGAACAGAAATTGTGTGGCAGCAGCGTGGCAGCAGCAGGAGGCCTCATTAGCTAAAGTGGTACCTTAGGTTAAGAACAGTTTCAGGTTAAGAACGGACCTCTGGAATGAATTAAGTTCTTAACCAGAGGTACCACTGTATTGTAAATGAAGGAGACCTCTCCCTTCCATCCATTGAAGTGGGTCAAATTTGGGAAGGGGCTTGCAGAGATAATTCATCTTTTTTTCCGTTTTTTCCTCCCCTCCACATTTCAGAGAACAATTAAAAGTACAGTGGTGCCTCGCAAGACGAAATTAATCCGTTCCACGAGAGTCTTCGTCTAGCGGTTTTTTCGTCTTGCGAAGCAAGCCCATTGACGGATTAGCGCTATTAGCGCTATTAGCGGTTTAGCGGCTATTAAAGGCTTAAAGGCTTAGGGATTAGCTGCTAAAAGGCTATTAAAGGCTATTAAAGGCTTAGCAGATTAGATAAAGGGGGGGAAAAGCGAAAAAAAAATCTCAAGACTCGCAAGACATTTTCGTCTTGCGAAGCAAGCCCATAGGGGAATTTGTCCTGCGAAGCAACTCCAAAACGGAAAACCCTTTCGTCTAGCGGTTTTTCCGTCTTGCGAGGCATTCGTCTTGCGGGGCACCACTGTAGTTGAGAGATCAGTCCCTGTCACCCAAACACCGTCCTGTCCTTTTCGGAAACAAGAGCCTTTGCTATAACTGAACAGTTTATAATACCCGTTCTGTGAGTGAATATGTATAGATTTGTGTTTGCATGAATACAGGTGCCCAAAACTTGGATCTAGAGGACAATATGCACGTTTAGACCACGTTGGTGCATAAAGAGGGCATTGCTGCATACAATCAGCTATGAAAACGGAGTCCTGTTTATACTTAAAATGAACACCTGCACCAAATTAAGGAAATTGTGAAGTGCTGACATACAAAGCACTTTATGTTTTCCTTCAAAATTATAGGAAGGGATAATTACAATCAAACCACTTTAAATCCTTTAATTGCCATGCTGCAACCATTCCTCATAGGGGAGTTGCTCCATCCTCTTGATCACTTTGGTTGCCCTTTTCATCATCATTCACCCTGTGGAGTGGCCTGGTTCTGTTTAATGAACAGTCAGCAACTACCAGAGAGCTGTGCCAGGTGGGGGAGAGGCTGTACTCCGCTGGCCAGTGCAGCTTTCCATTTCCCCCCTAGGGCGGCTGCCCTGCCTGCCCCCTTGCCATAAGCTCAAGAGTCTTCCCTTTTCTCTCTAACCACCTCCTTACTAAAAAGGGGGGGGGGGAATCAAAAGATTTGAGCTCTGAAATACTGAAAGCAAAATTAAAACCAAAGCAGTGCAAACTTAATTTATTCTGAGCACTGAATTTGGAGCTTCTCAGAAGAGAATTGGGATTGGTAAATGTTTCGGAGGAAGAACACACACACACACAGCACTGGTGAAAAAGAACTCAAAAAAAGCATTCCAGTTTAGAAACATGATCCTGTTAATTCTCACACAGGAGAAAGAAAATACAGGGATTAGTTCAAGCAGCCTTATCCAACCTGGTGCCCTCCAGGTGGTTTAGGCTACAACTCCAGGGCTGATGGTAGCTGTAGTCAAAAATATCTGCAGGGCACCAGGTTGGAGAAAACCAAAGTCTCCATGGTTTACATGTGAATTGTCAGTTGAGAAACTTCATTTTGGCAAAGAAAATCCACCCAAGCAGTGCTGAACAGTCTACTTCCCAAATCACAGCAATCGTTAAAAGCTCTGAATCTTTGTTTGCAGCTCTATGCAACATGGCTTGCTTCTCCAACTGTCTGTGCAAAGGGTCACACCAAACCCACACCCCGCACGCCTCTAATGCTGCAGCGAAAGCCAGAAGAACGTTCCTCAACGAGAAAGACCGACGGGGAGGTCGCCAAAAGAGACGGCGCCGCCAATTCAGCTGTTGTACAAAGGCACGACTCTTGCGATCTCTTGCCTACAAATGGGGCAACGGGGAGGCTGCGGCAGCGCCTGGTAGCACTTGTCGCACGAGCAGACGTGCCCGCACTCGAGGAACACACATGAGCGGGCATTGCTCAAGCAGACGACGCATGCATTCAGCGTGTCCCCGCCCGCTGCGATCATCTCCTGCACCTGACGCAAGCGCTGCTTCTCCCGGTGATGGCGGTACTGCTTGTGGAGGACAAAGAAGAGCACGGCGCACGTCGCAAAACCAAAAAGTAGAGTCAGGACCTTCCAGAGACGGACGCTCGATTCTTCCTTCTGGAGCAAGGCCTCGAAATCTAGGCTGCTTAGGTAATAGCGCATCCCTTGCTTGGGGGGCTGCAGTCTGATGGTGTTGTTGTCCAGGACCAGCTCGCCCACCCCGGTAAGCGCCGCCCCCACCTTCAGCATCTCTTCGGTCTCCTTGATGCCTTTGGGGCGCTCCCCGCTGATGTAGTGGCCAATCACGTCCGTGAAGGACTGGACAGACGGGTGGAACTTCTCGTACACTGTCTCCAAGCTAAGCTCGGCAGCGTCCAGGGGTTTCAACACCCTCACGGCGACATCGGCTCCTCCCTCCTGGGGCACCATATCAAAGGCTGTCGTGTTGGTCCTCTGGTGAATGATCTTCTCGTAGTCGCTCCTGGGGAACGAGGACCCAGCACAAAGGTTTAAAGCAGCAGAAGAAACACAGAACGGATTGCCCACTTAGCTGGGCACATAAAGGTTTGCCTGGGAATGGCTCCTAACATTTCAGTCTACAGAAATTTAATGAAGAATTTGCTTGAGTTTGCCGGAATTTGCTTGCACTTCTCTTCCCTCCCCTTCCGTATCATGACTATTCAGATCAGGGACAGGGCAGGTCTATGGCCCTCAGGCCTCTCATCAAGCCATACATCTTCCAAAGTTGCACCCTTCCCTCAGTGTTCTTGCCTGGTTGGAATGCATTCTTGAACTCTGATAATGTTTCTTCCTTCTCTCAATGGAGGACCGAGTGTGTGTAAAATCTAGCCTGCTATACAAGGTAAAACTTGATTTTCTTTATTGCCACCTTTGCCTCTGGCTCTACCCACCACTGGTCCAAAACGGTTCCCTGCCCCTGTTTCCAACTGCAATGCAATTGTCACAAACTGTTCTGTTTTCCTCTTTTGTTTGCTTTTCATTGACACTTCGCCTCACTCTTTACATCTCTCTCTCCCCACCCCGTATCTGCCCATTGAGAATGATCCTTTACGCAATACCAAAATGGATTTTTGTCCACAAAACCTTATGCCATAACAAATGTATTAGTCTTTAAGGTGCCACAACACACTTTGATTAAACTTCTTATGTGCTAGATGCAGACTTTGAAAAAACCTGCGGGATCTTTTTTTAGCAAGGGGGCTGCTTTTCTGGCACAGAAGCCAGATTTTTTTTATACACAACTCTCCATCTTGGCAAGCTAGAGGCATTCTCACAGGTGCACATTCCAGCCAGGCAAAAGCACTCACGGGGGGGGACGGGGGACAGAGCAAGCCTGGGGAGGGGATACAGCCTGGGGAGAGCCCTGGGGGCCAGAGGAGTATATAGGACTGCATGCAGACTCCACCCTGATAGAGATTGAAAGGTGGATTATAATAATCTGAATGGCACCTGGCCTACGCTACTGATTAAGCCACATGCTCCAATAAAGGCTCTTGCCTCACACCAATACACCAGTGGAAGCAATAACCCTCTTGCCCCATTTTCAAGTCTGGGAGTGAAATGTACCTACCAGAGGTGCGTGGTTCGGTTCCACACTATCTTGTGCTCCTGCAGTGTTAGCCTCTGAACCACTCCCTTGCAGTTTTCCACAAACTGACTGTTGAGGGTTTCCTTAATAGACCGCACTACACCTATTGGATGGCAGAGGGAAGAAAAAACAGCTGAAAAGAGCTTAATTGCACACCTGAAGACTCACCACAGTGTAACAGAACAGCAAGAGCAATAGGAACCTATTAATTTACCCACAGGTCTAAGGACTATGCTGTGCAGGGACAGCCATGATCACTGGTTGGGGCTGATGGGAGTTGCATTTTAGTGTGCATGTTATACCATAATCCTCCCTGACAGATGGAGCAAACTAGACACCTAATGGCAAACACTCATACATGCTTCCCACCCCCATTACCAGCAATCCACAAGACTCACAAACCCTACCTTCTATTACTGCATAAGGAACACATTTCCCAGGTGCTTCCATAAGGATAGTCTTCAAATCCTGGTCTAGGGTGACTTTTTTCGCTCCCTGGGTGGAGGGAATTAAACATTGGTAAGAGCCCGTTCTTCACTCAAAATCTTTGCATAGGTCTACTTTGCGTAGGAATTAATTGACTACAACCCATAACACAATAATTGTGTACCCCCCCACTCCTTTCTCGCCTTTTGGGATTTCCTTCCTTCGTTTGGCATTTGTAGTTTTTGGATCCAATATACTTTTAGTTTATAATGTTCATAACAGGCTTTACCTTTTATAAATTCAACATTTAAAGGCTGTTGCAGCTGCTCCAGATACTTTTCAGTTGAGAAGCAGAACAGACATCGAAAAAATACTGAATACATAAAATTACTGTGGCCCTGTTCTAAGCAGCAACTGACCTTCAAGCTGTAAACTATTTTTGACTTTTGCCTGTAAATGGCATACAGAATTGCAGTGACAGCTGAACTGGTCGCCAGGAGGATCACCTGTCCCGTCGAAGGACGTCCGGCAGCATCCATTGCTATAATCTAACTCTGGTATATATGCCTAGAAAGAGAAAAATAAAATGGTTTGGGGCTCTTTAGTCAGAAAGCACAAAGGGTTAGAAATAACCTAGCCTCCCATCTCTGCAACACTATATCCCCAAAGACTGCCCAATCCTATTTCAATACTTTACTCCTATATCTATACGTGTCTTATCTTGCCCACAAGTCACCTCAGACTCATTTGGAGTATATCTGGCAACAACCTTCAAGAGTCCACGCACAGCAAGAACAGACTGAGGGAAATTTCTCTGGGCATAGTGATATTTTGAAAGAGAGATTTCTTCAGATATGTAAAAATTCTGGAAACAAATAACACATAATAGCCTACCTGTGCTAGTATCAAGGTTGCTTTCGGCTACCATAAGCTGAATTTAAAAAAGAATGCAACTATCCAGCCTGGATACAGTAACTGTGAAAGCACCCCAATAGGTGCTTATAAATGATTCTTATGACTTGGAGAATTCTCTCTGCAAGCTGTCTCCTCATTCATTATGACAACCTTTTATAACACTAATATTTAAAACATTATAGATGGCTGCTAGTTTCTAGAACGTGCCCTGTTCATTTGTGGTTCCTGCTCAACTGAAAATTTGCCTTTTTTATTTACCAGATTTACTATTCTCTAGATGTGGATTCTTGATTTGAATGCGTTTATCTTTTTCTTTGTATTATATTTTAATTGATTTTCAAATATATACACAAACTTCAAATACAACACCGTATTCAGAAACAATGTGATTTTTCTCATTTATTATAAGTATTTGTGTGCAGCTTTTCCTCTCCAGATTCTACAAAGCAGCTCACATAGATTCATTACACCCCCATGTAGCCTAAAATCAATCAATTCACCCTACAATCATAAAACAGGAAGAAATAGTCACTCTTTCATAACATCAAAAATTAGCAGTCCCAGCAGGTCACAAATCTGCCATTAAAAGTTTGGTTAATATGGTAGTTTTAACCTGGAATACCAAGGAGGTGAATGTACACTACTGTTTATTTCTTTTTATTACCCACCTCGGGAATTTCATTGGCTATCCACTATTCTTAAAGCAAGGAATATTGCAGACCCTCAAAGACTAGAAGATTTATTGTGGCACCAGTTTTCGCAGCCTATAATCTGTTTTGTCAGTTAGATACTCATGAAGGACATTTTATACACTTGATGAAGGGGTTGTAGACCACGGAAGCAGATGCTTCAATTAAACCCATCAAGGTGGCACAATACACAATGCCATCTCAAATACAACTGCTGCCTCAGGAAAAAAACCTCCAGTATCCAGCTCTCCAAACCACCTTCCAGTCACCAACTTATAAAAGTAGTCAAGGCTAATCAGACTAATCCCCAAAACTTTGGGAGATCAAGTTCAAATCCCTCCCCTACTCAGCCATCAAGCTCAGCTGGTGACTTCAGGTCAGCCACAATCTCTCAGTTTACCCTACCTCACAGGGTTGATGGGAGGACAAAATTATAGGACAGAGGCAGGAGAGAACCTTTGCATACTCTCTGAGCAACACGGAGTAAAGGGATATAAATGTAATAATGCAACAAGCAGAGCTCTACCATACCAGGCCAGAGGCCCATCTAGACCAGCATTGTGCTTTTCACAATGGGGAGGTTACAAACGGGGGCTGTACACCACAGCCCTCTCCCAGATGGTTCCACAATTTATCTTCTCCTTCATGAAATTTGGCTCATCTCCCTTTAAAGCTGCTTGAGGTGGGAGTCTATGCTCAAATCATGTGGCAGGCAGTTCCACAAGTCAAGTCAACATAATGTGAAGGACCAGTCTCTTCTGCCAGTCAGTTCATGCCAGAGTGTCCCTTTCCTGTAATACTGTATATCAGTAAAGCTACAACGGCCGCACCCCCAAGCTGCCAACACCAATCTCAGGATTCCCCAGGGCAAGCAAGCCACCCCTAAAAGAGACTCCACCCCTACGCCCTCTATCCCCAGGGTAACACAGGAGGCTTCCACCATATCCGGCTCCAGAAAAAGGGATGCTCTCCAGACAGCATTCCTACCCCTATTTTGTGTCTTCCTCCGACCTACTTCCGGGAAGGAAATTTTCTTCCTGTCGACGTCTGATGACGTCAAAGAGGCCAAAAAGGATGTTTTTCATAGAATTTCAGGGCGCTGCCTAGAGCGACGCGAACCTCGAACATCCGGTCGCTCGGCTCATGCAAATAACCCCTGAACCATAGACTTAGAAAAAAATGGTAGACTGATCACTCCTGTCTTTAGACGCATAACGTCCTGGCTCCTATTCCCACTTTTTACTTTTGAGGCGGGAGGTGGTGCTAACAAACGAAGCCATTGGGGGAATCCTGAACAGTAGCCGACCGGCCTCTCCCTTCCCAGCTCCGAGCGCTCTTCCAGAGCAGGCCGTGGCTGTTCACGTGACCTCGTTGCTCCCGCAGCGGCCAATCCGGTCTTCAGAAGTTAACCATTTGACGCGAGGCGGGTGGTGGACCTCCGTTGACAGACAAGCGACGAGAGAGGAAGTCCCGCCTCGGGACCCGCCTGTGAAGCGCTACTCTTCTCTTGTTTCCGCCTCTGTGCCCGGGAGGAGGCGGGGCCGAGAAGCGGCTGAGGAACGCCGTCCTTGTTGAAGCTTTATTGTTCCTCCTACCTCGCGCCCACCTTCGCCCGTGTCCGCCGCCGCGCGGCTCCCAATAAAGGTAACCATGGCAACGGCAGCCGGCCTAGGCGCTCGATTTAGGCCCTCCTCGCCGTATCCCAAGTCGTCTCTCCTTCACCCGACCGGGGAGGGTGGGGGCCACGAAGAAGACTCTGGCTCTGGGCAGGCCCCTGCGTTTGGCTTCTGCGTGGGCCTGGGGCCCCTTCGGGCGGCCGCCGCCTAGCTCGAACGGGCGAGGGAGAGAGCGCGCCCGGGTGGGAGGCCTCGTCCGGGACAAGCCCCTCGGGAGGCTGGTGCTGCTCGGGGGGGCCTCTGCGTCCGCCCCCTCGCAGCTGGCCACCGGCCACGCATCTCCCTTGAAAGGGCACTCGGCCCAAGTTGGGCTCTGTTAGGCTGTGAGACATGGCAGGGAATGAGGGAGGAAAGATGCCTCGAGGCTGGAGCATCGCTTTCATTGTGTCCCCACCCCCTTACAAAAAGGCTCCCAGAGCGGCTTGTGATAAGAAACAGCTCACGAAAGCGACTGGGGAGGGGGGGACACCACAAACTCACATGTTTCCAATGCATGACTTCCCTTTAAGAATCCTGGGAGCTGTCTGTAGTTCGCCTCTCAAAAGACCTGCAGTTCTCCAAACTGAAGCTTTTTTGGGTGAACCGTGGGCAGCACCAGCATGGTGTAACCTGGCATCATTTGTGGGACTTTGCCTTCCTCAAGGAGCTTCCTTTCAGTGGGAAACCAAAGGTCCACAGAACAGCACTGGGCTGTTTGAAAGCCCCTGTCCGCAACAGGCCCATGCTTCTCATTAACTCTACCGTTTCAGATATTTAAAGAGCAGTAGGTAAAATTAAAAGGTAAAGAACCCCTTGCTGGTTAAGTCCAGTCAAAGGTGACTATGGGGTTGTGGCTCTCATCTTGTTTTCAGGCCGAGGGAGCTGGCGTTTGTCCACAGACAGATTTCCGGGCCCAGTGGCCAGCATGACTAAAACTACTTCTGGTGCAACAATTTGTATCCACTTAAGATGGCCCTCCTAGGCTTCCTTACATGTTGAGGTTTGCAGTAAGGAATGGGAACCAGGAGGTTGAGCCAGAAAATGTCGATTTTGAGGAAGGATGGCAAATGTTACACAGCAGGCAGAACTAGAGAGCAGAGCAGAGGTCTCTAAATAGAATTACCCTGTTTGGAGGAAATACTTTCTTACTCAAAGTCTAGTTGGGTTTTACAGGTGGAAAGCAGTAGTGTCCCAAGGCTGTTCACCTTTGTTCGTGGTAACGCCACAGGTTTGATCATAATGGGGAAGGGAACAAGTACAGTCCACGCAACTAATTTGCTGCTCTTCTCATCTGCGTACAGCTGATTGGGAGCAAAACTATACAGAACGTGAAGGGAGCAGAGACTTGCAGGGAGCTATGGATCTTCCAAACTACAGCCAGCAACTACTTCAACAGCTCCATACACTCTGCAGGGAACAGCAGTTCTGCGACTGTAGCATCTTGGTTGGGACGATGCATTTCCGAGCGCACAAGCTTGTGCTGGCAGCAGCCAGTGTGTTGTTCAGGTCTGTGCTGGATGGCACAGACACAGTCTCCATTGATGCTTCTGTGGTGGCCCCAGATGAATTTGCTCTCCTGCTAGAAATGATATATACAGGCAAGCTGCCTCCTGGGAAGCACAATTTCACCAACATAATATCTGTGGCAGACAGTCTGCAGATGTTTGATGTGGCTGTCAGTTGCAAAACCCTTCTTGGGGACCTTCTGAGCTTTCCAAGTCAAGAAGAAGTGCTGAGGGACATTTCTGTTCAGGCAGGGGATGCATCTAGTAAAGGTGTTGCCACTTTGGACAGTTCTCATGCTGCAAAACTCAGTGTCAAAGTGATGTTGCATCCTGAGCAGGTTTCTTCCGGCTCTGCAGACTCTGTGGACACCACCAGAGTGCAAGGAAAGAGCACATGTCAGGAAGCTTCAGACAAGGAAACTCAGCTTCCTGATTCTCATTGCCAGGATCCCAAAGTTCTCCTCCCTCTGTGTCCAGGTGGCCAGAGCGTTTGCGAGGAATGGGAAAGCACCAAACTGCCAGAGGAGAAAGACCTGGTTGGAGGTACAGGTGAGAGCGTCACCTTGACATTGCCTGCTCCTAATAAACTATAGAGTAACTTTGCCTGTTGTAATTCTACCCAGTGGACTGTTCCATACATGTATGTACCTTGTATGAGAACTGTGAGGTCAATTAGTGAACTGCCTCAGTTGAAAAGTTTGCATTTGACTCTGTGTAGACATCCTTGTTTGTTGTGCTTTCCCTGTGATGGCTATTTCACACATGGAAGTCATCACTTGATGCTGTGAGCTGCTGCTCCTGTTGCAAGCCAAAAGCCAAGAGCTTCTGCCTGTATCCATGCATGCTTTTCCCCTTGTCTGCAAGAGGAGGGAGATGCACCATCTTAATCGGGAGCCCCAGGTGGGAAAAGCAAAGCTCTTCCCAAGAAACTCCTCCAGCAGCACCTATTAGGTAATTAAGACGCTTTGGTTTTTTAGCATAAACATTCCCACCAGAATGCTTCCTTGCACTCATTTGTGCCGGTTTCATTTGTGACTCACTTCCCATGAAACATCCCAAAGCAATTTAGCAACAAGGCATCAACAGTAACAAAGAAAAAAGGAATACAATTTCCAGATGAATAAAGGCTGGGATAAAAAACTGCACTTACAAGGCATTTTGAAAGGAGGTCTTCAGTAGATGCCAACTTGGAATGCACTCCCAGGTGAAATCTGCTGCAGAGTGCAGTGATCAGTTGGGCACATATATCCATTATGTATGCTTGGTGTGCACAGTATGTAGTGTTCTCTTGCTTGGCGAATAATTCTCAGAAGAGGAAGACAGTAGCCCCCTGCTATCATCCGGCTTCCACTGGCCTTTCTCCCTTTGACTTTCTGGGCTTCCTCTTTTCATAGGAAGCTCAGAAGAGGTGAAGCCTATAGCTGCTGTGCCCCAGGAAAGTAAGGAAGAGCTTCTAAAGGATTTGACACAGCTGAGGCCTATCCAAGGGCTCTTGGACACATCAGAGGATGATGCTTTCCTCTCTGGGGCAGAAAAGCAGGTAAACTGGAAAAAGGGGAAGGCAGGGGCATGCCCCTGTCTTTTTGCCACTCCCTTCTTACCCACATCACCCTTCCCTCTGCCACTAATGCCTCCTTCCTTTCTGCCAAGAAATTTGGCCTAGTACTTAATTCTATGTCAAGGAGGTAGGCAGAGTTGCCCAGTTCACTTCATGATGGATAGCTCAGTTAGTTAGAGCATGGTGCTGATAACACGAAGGTTGCAGGTTCGATCCCTGTTTGGGACAGCTGCATATTCCTGCATTGGAAGGGAGTTGGGACTACATTATCTCAAGGTCTTAAGCTGGATTCATGCATTAGCTGCTGCTTCCGTCAGTTATTTTAAATCAGTTTGTCTTTTTTTAATGTTTATCATATATTACATTTATATATCTTTTGTAAGATACCTTGCAAGAGTTTGTACCCTAATAGGTGGTATATAAATGAATTAAACAGATAAGTTAGGGCCAGGTTTTCCCAGTTTGCATTGCTCTTGATAGCTATTAAGCATCTGTGGTGCCTTTGCACAGAATTGATGCCCAACTGAAATATTTCCTGGAATGCACAGATCCTGTCACTGCCAAACATGCCAGGTTAGATTTCTGAAACATACTTGAAATAGTGTATGTGTCTCAAAATTTCAGCTACTGCAAACTGCATTAAAGTGTGTATGGGGGCAGGGGAGTATTGCATGTGCGTTTGCTACGTTTCTCAGCATCTCCTGCTTAGCTGTGTAATTGTCCTTGCAGGTTGCCATGGACTGCTCTGAGGGCAGCTCACCCAGGGACGCTGCAGAGAATCTGTTCAAGGAGGAGAAGATCCTGAGCCCAGAGGCCCTGTCAAAGTTTCTCGGGGCCCTGAAAGCTCCTTTCCCTGGCCTGGGTCTCCTACTGGACCGTTGGGTGGCTGCAGCAGTTGGTTCTGACAGCACAGGTATCCTTGGGGTGACAATTTGGCGGCGGTGGGTGTTCAGAAAAGGCTTTGCAGGCTATGGCCCCAACTGAGCTCTCGCTCAGGATCATGGAACAGAGGGTGCCCACCCCCCACCTCGTCCAACGAGGCCTCAGATGGTCTTTGTGACATGCAGGAGAGTCTTCACCCACAACATAGACTCTTTCTGCGTACGGCTGGTCTCCTTGCTTGCTCAGGATGGCCTGTTCCTACATGTCCTCTAGTCTAGATTTGAAACCATCCCATCTGGGTTATCCAGGCTCCAAGAGACAGTTTGAAGATTTCTCACAATGGGGAGCACATATTGGGGCAGGGAAATGGCATGACTGTTGGGAAGCTGAGGCTCTGCAGTAGCCCTCTAGTTGGTAATTTGACACCCCACCCTGCCCGTTTCCATAGTTGGCTCTAGTGACAGCATTGCCACAGAAATATTACTGAGGCATCGCAAGCTGATATCCGAGGCCCTCCAGCAGGGAGCTGGTCTAGAAGAGGAGTTGCCACCAGTAGAAGCAGACCTGGCCAAACCAGCCAAGGAGGTTCAGGATGCTGTCCCTGGATGCCAGGTGTGTATATCTCAGGTGTGCTAAGTCTGTAGCAGGATGTCTGCTGGGTGGATTCAGACAACCAATGGCCAGGTGAATGTGTGCTTCACCACTTGGTCGTCACCCCATCGCAACATCACCCCCGATGACTGGGAAGGAGGTGGTGCTGCTTTATCAAATGCATTATTAGCTTATGTGATTCATTGCCACAAAATACAAATGGACGCATTCAGGAAGGAAGTTGATCATCAACAGCCCTCCACCACTGTAGCTCAACAGAGCTTCTATGTTGCATTTCATTTTGGTTATTTATTTATTATCTACACATGAAAACCATCCCTTGCCCTATAGGCTCTCAGGGCATGTTTAGGAGTCAATAAACGACTGCAGTTCGACAGGGCAGGGCTGCTGTCTTTTCTGTCCCTGCTTGGCAGCTTCCAGAGGCATGTGGCTGAACTCGCTGGACCTTCTGGGTTGATCTAGTCCCCCGTGCCACACATGGGGAGCATCTGCACCTGCTCAGGCACCCAGTGGAGAGGTCAAATAATCCTGCTATGCAGCAGGGTAGGGGGACTCTCTTCATTGTGTGTTTCTTCTGTGGCTTTTCCCAGCTGGTGAGCACTTGCCTGCAGGAGGTGGCCCCTGCGACCTCCTGGAGGGCAGCTCTGAGCAGTGCCTGGAACAACAAGCCACTTCCTGCCACCCAGATCTGCCAGCTCCTCTGCAGCATTCAGGAGTCATTCCCAGGCCTGCAGACAGTGATGCAGGAACTACAGCAAGCTGGTGAGAATCTTTCTGCCTTGTATATGCCACTCTCTAGGCACGTGGTGGGGGACACGCCCAGCCCCAGCCTGCAATTGGCAACATACACCTCTGTGTGCATGCTTGAGAGGTGCATTGTTTTGTGGTCAATTTGGCAGAACTTGAGGCAAAGGGAGAGTGGGGGGAGCAGCTCACTGCAAAGCGACTCCCGCTGCGTGTCAGTTCAGGAATCCACAGCCAGGAGGCTGAATGCTGCCCAGAGTCACTCCCAGCTTCTTTCAGGGGGCTGCTGAGATGCTGGAGCAAACGGAAGCAGAAGAAGCCTTTCATTGCAGAGTAGAGGTAGCACTCAAAGGCCTACGGTCTTGGGTTGTTGCATGAGGAACCTGGTTGTTGTAGAAGGGTCCAGTAGGGGGGAGCAGCCAGAGGAAAGTGTGGAAGACACTTTCACATGGCAGCTGATTTTGCCTGGTTTCTTCTAATTTCTTCTACTGCCGTGGGGAGGAGAAGAGAGTGATGCAGTCCATGGAAGTATTCTCTAACCCTGAAAACCCTGCTCAGTCCCCTGAAGGCGGCCCTGTTTGGGGAAGTTTTTAATGTCTGGTGTTTTATCGTGTTTTTAATATTCTGTTGGGAGCCGCCCAGAGTGGCTGGGGAAACCCAGCCAGATGGGTGGGGTATAAATAATAAATTATTATTATTATTATTATTATGAGAGATTCCACCAGACACCCCCCTTGCACACGTAAGGCCTAGAAACTTGCTTAATTAAAGGTAGAATAATTTTTTAGGTTTTTAAGTATTATTATCAATCAATTTCTACACAATCATCTGAAGACAATGTACAGGAAAAACAAGAAAAGTTTTTTAAAAAAACAACAGATACACCGAAAACAAAAGTAAGACAATGCAAAATATAGACCCTTGTAGCAGAAACCCATTTGTGCTGTTGCTGAGCTGTTCAGTGCATGGGAAGAGTGGTGTCCCCCTCAGGTGCAGGCATGTCCTTGCAGGACTTCTCCTTTCTTTCAAGCCGCCTGACCTTGAGTAGTTGATCCTTGTTGCCCAGCCTATCTTGCACTTTCCAAGTAGCTTTAGGGAAGTGGTGCAAGGTTTTTACCTCAGGTGCTACAAAGATTAAAGCTATGTGACCTGCATATGTTGCACCCGTTCAAGTGCGCCTCAGAATTCCTATTGTTTTACACAGTTGGTGTAAGTTTTGCTTGGCAAGGGGGTAGATAAGAAGCTGAAGCAGTTGCTACTGCTGACCACTCCTGGGAATTCCTCTGGAACTGTCCTGATGCTTGGAAGCACTTACTAGAAACTAGTAAGCTAGAAGCTAGAAACTTGACCCTTACAAAGGTTCTCTGGAAGCTGTGCTCAGCATATTGTTCTACAGATATTTTTGGCTCCTGCTGATGGTCCTGAAGCCACAGTCCACATGCCTCAGAATGACTGTTTCCTTTTGTTCTTCCACAGGGCTCTTGACAGCTGTCGACGGAGGGAAGGCCAGTGTCTGGAAATGGAAGGTGAACAGCATGTCTCAAGTTGAAGCGGTGGGCAAAGCGGAGCCAAAGGGGGGCCAAAGCCCAGAGGCCCCCAGGGGGGCTGCCTCCCCAAAGAGCTTTGCCTGCAAGGCCTGCGGGAAGAGCTTTCGCTTCTACTGCCGCCTGAAGGTACACGAGAAGCGCTGCCGGGTGGCCCACCAGAAACCGGCGCAGTGCCCAGAGTGTGGCGAGGCAAAGGCCTCCAAGGCAGAGCTGGAGAAGCACCAGGTGGAGGCTCACGGCAAGCTAGGCTCCTCCCTCCGGAAGAAGAAGCCCAAGAAGCCCCGCCTCCCCGTGGCCTGCGACATTTGTGGGCGGGAGTTTGCACACACATCAGGTATGGCCAGCCACAGGGCTCCTGGGAGTTGCAGGCTTCCCTTTTATCTCTTCATTTACAGTCAGGCCCCCTTTGCATTCAGAAGTGAAACCCCAGAGGTCCAGTCATCCTCTAGATTGGGGTTTCTCAAACTTGGGTCTCCAGCTGTTTTTGGACTCCCATCATCCCTAGCTATCTGGACCAGTGGCCAGGAATGATGGAAATTGTATCCAAAAGCAGGTGGCGACCCAAGTTTGAGAAACCCTGCTCTAGATCCAGATGCCTGCTGAGCCTGGCTGAGGCAGAGGGAGCAGGCTTGGCAGCCCATTTCAAAGCCTTGAGGCTGGAGAAGAAGCCTTGCTCCTCCCACTCTGCTTAGCCCAGTCTAGATGACTTTCTCTGGGCACATTGCGAGGGCTGTGCGAGTGAATGCCACTTCCTTACCATGCCCAAGAAAAGCTTGAGAGACTGCCCTTCCCACAGCAGGGACTTTTCCCAGCGTGAATCCCCTCCGCTGCAGCCCGGGCCCAGTTTGAGCAGGCGGTGGTGAGCAGCTCTGTGTCCCTCGAGAAGCTGATCTGAAAAGGCTGCACATAGTGTGCTGGGGAGCTGAAGGCTTCCTGCCTCACCTGCTGCTGTTTCCTTCTCCCTCCCCGCCTCCCCTCAGGGATGCAGTACCACAAACTGACGGAGCACTTTGACGAGAAGCCCTTTTCCTGCGAAGAGTGCGGCGCCAAGTTTGCGGCCAACTCCACGCTCAAGAACCACCAGCGCCTGCACACGGGTGACCAGCCCTTCGCCTGCAAGCACTGCCTGATGAGCTTCGCCCAGGCTTCGGCTCTCGCCTACCATACCAAGAAGAAGCACGCCAAAGGTGAGGCCAGGCGTCCCTCTGGGTCAGCCTCCGACTGCAGCAATTTGACAGGAGTCAGGGAAGCTAGCAAAGAAGCGGGGGCCCTGCCGACACGTGTCATTTCCCCCTGCACACCCAGAGGCTGCATCTCACGCAGCCCACTGCCGAAATGTGCCAAGGCTCCCCAATAGAGCAGGGGTTGGGCCGTGATGTACTGCTGCACAGCAGGGCTGGGAGTCAGGGAAAGGCACCTTGGCAAGCAGCACTGAGCCCCGCTGTGTGGAGGAGCCAAACTTCACAGGCTGCTGGGTACTGAAAGTTGGGGCGTATGAGTGCTTCCCTTGTGGGGCTACCCAGCCACAGGGAAGAGACTGACCTCATCACAGCTTTGAAGACCCCAAAGTGGGTTGCTGCCCTCTGTCCCTCAGCCACCTTTTTTGGCTCCTCTTGCTGTCTTTTCCAGCTGATCCCTGTCACTCTGAGACAGTGTTTGAGATTAGCCAGGCGCATTTTGCACCTGGCTTTTGAACACTTTCGACCAAGTGAAGATGCCTGGGTGCCAGGATGGCGTCTGACACCACCATCTGGAGGTGCATGCCTGGGGGTCATTGGATCTGGACTGTTTTCACACACTCATACCCCATCCTGTAGAATTCTGTCGGTATTATTTTATCAGCACAATTGGAATGCATTTCAGGAACCCAAGTACTTTTTCTGCACAGCCTGAGCAGGAACAGTCACCATTAAGAAAAACAGGTCAGAATAGGCCAATATATATGTGGGCTGTCTCTGGGTCAAGTCATTTTTCATCTTTAAGATCACCAAGCTCTTAACCTGGCTCAAGATTGTCATCTGAACTAGCTGGATGTTTAACTGAGAGTCAGTTAGTGGCAACTAGACATTTCATTTTGGCAACTGCAACCTTGGTTAAAGGAGCCATTTGGCGCCTAGCTTGTATATCTGATTTTCTAACACTGCTGTGAGACCAGGCACTGCTTGGGTATTCTGGAAAGCTGATGATGGTCCTTCTAGCATGCCAGTCCTTCCATGCTTAGGCTCAGTGTCATAATATTAGCCCTCATACCAACACACTGCATTGGCTCTCTTGGCAGGGAAGATGTACGCTTGCCAGTACTGTGCCGCCGTCTTCGCGCAGTCCATTGAGCTGTCCCGCCACGTGCGCACCCACACAGGTGACAAACCCTATGTCTGCCGGGAATGTGGGAAAGGCTTCCGCCAAGCCAACGGTCTCTCCATACACCTGCACACCTTTCACAGTGAGTGCCTTGAGCTTCATAATAATAAATGACAACAAATAATGACAGCAACAGCTTCCCGCCCTCCCTAGCTTTGTAAATTTTGCCATTTACTGCTCATGCACTTAAAAGTGCTGCAGACACACCCTGGAAGGAAGCAGTTGCAGGATGCCCCCTGCTCTTCCTCTTATTGTGAGGGCATCCCCTTCCTGGACCAGTGCCAGAGATCTAGAGGAGTTTATTAGTATTTAGAGATTTTTTTTATAATGATGAGTAATCTGATAGTTGTTGCTCTCAAGCTTACACTCTTGCATGTGTTGCTGCTTTGGAAAAGGAGGCAGTGCTGAGCCCTTGAGGTAGGGTGACCCCAACTGTCCTTCCAGGAGCTGGAGGTCTGCTATTGCTGGCAGCTGTTCTTCTGTGTCTCTGCCTAAAAGTCCCACACAGCAGGGTATAGTCAAGGGCTTGGGCTCTGCCAGCAAGGCTGGAATCATGAGGAGCACCGACATGATGCCTAGCTAAGACTGAATGTGGTCCTGGTTGGGAGCAAAGTCTCTCCTGAGGGTAGGGCAGTCATAATCTGAGGGGAAACAGTTGTGTGATTGTAACCAGCTCTTGTTTTGTCCTTCTGCTCCTCCTGAACCCTCTGCATGTGAACTCGTTGTATCCTGGCCCCACCTTCCTACCCTACCCTCCACATGGGGACTCAGACGTTGACGACCCCTATGACTGCCAGAAGTGCCAGATGAGCTTCCCCACCCTGCAGGAGCACCAGAAGCACATTCATGCAGCCCACTCTAGGGAGTACCACCCATGCCCGACCTGTGGAAAGGTTTTCAGTGCACCGTCCCTGCTGGAGCGCCACGTGGTCACCCACGTCGGGGGGAAACCTTTCAGCTGCCAGATCTGCAACAAAGCTTATCAGGTGGGTCTGCTTTGGCAGAAGCAGTGGCCAACAGGACAACCATCCTTCCCCTTTGCCATTCTTAGGTCTCACCTCTCCCTCGCACACACAGACACAACTTGCATTGCTTCCCCCGAGTCTCTGGGAATCCAAAAGTGCTGAATTCTAAAATGGGCATTTTGTCTTTTTGTACACGATAAAAAGCTATATTTCGCACAAGGCGTTTTACAATAAAAATCAGTCAAAGGTGACTTTGTAACAATAAAATACCAAATAAAACCAGCCCATTGGTTCCAAAGACTGTGTTTACAACAGGCAATCAGATTCTGACTTGGTCACTCCTTTGCACCCAGGGATGGCAGAGAAGGAGCATCAGGGAAGTCTTACTCGGACTTCTTCCAAAGACTTGCCTCCACTGAAGATCAGGCTCTGCTGTGTGCATCCATTCACCTCCCTTTGTGGATAGATAGAAAATGCAATTGGGGGCATGTGGGGTAGCAACAGCCAAGGGAATGATGTGGCAGTGTTTCCTTTGGAGACAGAAGCCATTGTCTACCTTGGGGGTGGAGTGAGGGGGTGGAAACCCTATAGTCAGTGTGAATCCCAGAGTCGAGGCTTTGAACCTGCAGCCCAAGCCCCTCTGTGGGTTGTGATAACCAGAATGGATTTGCTCCCTCCAGCAATTGTCAGGGCTGTGGTACCACAATCGGACTCATCACCCGGACATCTTTGCTGCTCAAAACCACCGGTCCTCCAAGTTCTCTTCGCTGCAGTGCAGCTCCTGCGATAAGACCTTTCCCAGCACTGCAGCCCACAGGAGACACACCAAGGAAGAGCATTCAGGTAAAGGACTCAGAGGGCAAAGGTGCCACCTTGGTGCCTTCTGCTCTTGGTGCCCGACAGGTCTTGACATTTGGCACGGGGCCTCCAGCTCAGCACTGGCTGTTAGGTGAACTTTGTGGGATCAGACCAAGGTCCAGTTCATTCGGCAGCCATTGTTCCTGGCAAAGTCAAAATCAGGGTGGTCCCTGCCCTCCCCCGGCATTGTGTTCAGAGGTAGACTTCCTCTGGGGGTGTGGAGGTATATGGAATCCACCACACTCTTTTTAGGAACTGTCGGACCTCCAAAAAACCTCCGTTGCTTGCCATAGTTTGGTGGGGTTTGGGTGCATGCTGTCTTCACACTTCACTTTTAATAATAATAATATAATAATAATAAATTTTATTTATATCCCGCCCTCCCCAGCCGAAGCCGGGCTCAGGGCGGCTAACAACAATAAAACAGTACAAAAGTACAGCATAAACAACACTCTAAAATCATTCATTATAAAATTAATTAATTCAAGCCACTGGCAACCATTGGGCCAGAGCTCCGCGAAGATTGCCGAGGGAGGGAGTCAGGCTGTGCCCTGGCCAAAGGCCTGGTGGAACAGCTCTGTCTTGCAGGCCCTGCGGAAATATGTCAAGTCCTGCAGGGCCCTGGTCTCTTGTGACAGAGTGTTCCACCAGATCGGAGCCACAGCCGAAAAAGCCCTGGCTCTAGTTGAGGCCAGCCTAACTTCTCTGTGGCCTGGGACCTTCAAGATGTTTTTATTTGAAGACCGTAAGTTTCTCTGTGGGGCATACCAGGAGAGGCGGTCCCGTAGGTACGAGAGTCCTAGGCCGTATAGGGCTTTAAAGGTTAAAACCAGCATCTTAAACCTGATCCTGTACTCCACCAGGAGCCAGTGCAGCTGGTATAGCACTGGGTGAATGTGATCTCGCAGCGAAGACCTCGTAAGGAGTCTCGCTGCAGCATTCTGCACCCGCTGGAGTTTCTGGGTCAGTCTCAAGGGCAGCCCCACGTAGAGCGAGTTACAATAATCCAGTCTGGAGGTGACCGTCGCGTGGATCACAGTGGCTAGGTCAGGGCGAGAGAGGTAAGGAGCCAACTGCTTAGCTTGGCGGAGATGGAAAAATGCTGCCTTTGTTATAGCTGCAATCTGCACCTCCATGGAAAGGGAGGTGTCAAAGATTACACCCAAACTCTTAACGGACGGTGCTGGCACTAATTGCGCCCCCGCAAGAGATGGGAGTTGCCCCCCCAATCCCATATCGCCAATCCCATATTTTTAGGCAGTGGTTTTGGATTGAGGGGGACAAGTGTAGGGAGTCTGGCGGATCCCACAACAGCCAGGTTTTGGGGAAGAGGGATCCACTCTACCGAGGTGGGTGACTCTTTGTGAGGCTGTGTTGGTTGGAAGAGAATGCATTAGAGGAGCCACCCAAAAAGGCTTTGCAAACTCTTCTCCTAAGCAGGGGGCTGGATGAAGGTCAGTGGATATCTGGCCTGTAGCTGAACCCTCTTTTTGATAAACTACCTACCGGGGGTCTCATGGCTTTCCTTTAGAAGTGACATTCCATGAGTGTGAGAAGTGCAAGAGACTCTTCCCTTCGGTCGCTTTGCTGCAGGCTCACGAGAAAAGCCAGCACTCAGGTGAGTGTCCCACTAATTTGCCCCTTGTTGCCCCTCTCTCAGGAGGTTCCCATTTCCCTGCCTACTCATGACTCTCTCTCTCTCCCTTAGGGTCTCAGCCCCTCCACTGCCCACACTGCTCAGCCTCTTTCCACCTCCAGGGGGCACTGCAGCAGCACCTGGCCACCAAACACACCAGCCCATCAGAGCCTTCCTTGGTCTGCACACTCTGCGAGGAGGTCTTCCCTGGACAAGAGCAGCTGGAGCAGCACTGTGGTGCTGAGCACCCAAAGATGGTGGTTGCCAGTTCACAAGTTCCAATGGCCCAGGTAGTGCAGGTCAGTGATACCTTTCCCATTAGGGATGTTAAGCTGACCCCTTCCCAGTCCTTCGTCTGGGCCCCGTTCTGTGTCATCCCATCAGGAAGGACAAAGCCTCTTAACACAGCTTCCCCCACACGCAAAGTTTTTCCTGGTGTGTTACGATATAGGCCAGATGTGGGGAACCTCCAGTTCATGGGCCCAATTGACTGCCAACCGGTCAGATCCAGTTCCCCAGTCTGGATATAAACAGTGTCGCCCCTTTTCTTCTGATGCCAACTTGGAGTTGCCTCAACTTCACCCACTCCCCATTATACTGTGAGGAGGAAAGCCAGGCTGAGCGTGAGTGGCTACCTGCCCGCAAAGTGAATGTCCAGCATACTCTTCTGCCCAGCTGAAGCAGTGACATCCATGTCCTTTCCTTGTCAGGTGCTTCAGACACCTGGGCCTGTGGTCACCGTGGCAGAGCCGGAATTTGCTGACGCTCAAGTGTTTCTGACATTGCCAGAAGTACAGGGTACCAAAGTGGAGCACAGCTGGTGATGGTGAATTCGGAAGACTTCCTGGATGAAAAAGTCACGGCGATGTGAGATGGGGAGAGGGATAGCCTGTGCCAACCTGTGTTTTTGTTGGGCTGGAACCTGCTTGAATATTTGCCATGGAGCAAGGCACAGCAGGGATGAAAGCAATCCTAGAAAAACGGGGATTCCATGATGGAAAGGTTTGGATCAGATGTACCCATTGAAAGGCAGACTCTCCCTTCTGGGCATCATAGGAGGCTGCGTGGTTTTGTTCTCCACCTGGCTGTGCCCTTTTAAAGGCTTCCTTCCCTTCTGTTTGGGTATGCTAGGCCATTTATGAGATGAATAAGGGAGCTGTGTGAGGGCTGCCCAGGGGCCTGGGTGCCATGTTTATTTTTCTGCTCCTGGAAGCAGGCGTAGGGGAACATGGTGATCCAAATAGAGAGTGGCAAAGCAGATGGCAAAAGCATGGCAGCCTTGCCATGTGGGCAGGTAGTTGAGGACAAGAACCCCTACCCAACCTACTCCTAAGAACATGGCTGCCCATCCTGCAGTCCATGAGCTCCAACCAGGACCATCTCGAGGCTTGAAGGGTCTCTGGATAAACTTCCCTCTGGTAGGCCATTCATTGGTGGGTCCTGGTTGACATACCAGGCAATGGTGGCAGCTGTGCCACTGAGAAGCTAGATCAAAGTGCCCTTTAAATTTCCCTCCAGGCTCCCACCTGTTGTTTCACTCTTGGGATTGTGTGAAGCTTGTCCCAGCCATCTTGCTCTGCTTGCACCAGAACTTTTTTTTTTTTTAACGGATTGGGGGGGTCCAAGGCAGTTGTCACAAATGGGCCCAGGCAGCAGTACTGGCCCTTGCACTGCAATATATTCTTCATGAGGGAGTCCTTTGGCAAACATGGCTTTGAGCTTTCTAGAAACAGCTTGCAAGCAAGACCTTGTAATATGCATCAGTAGCTCTGACGTACTCAACTGTGCGAGGACAAACTGGTATTGAAATTACTTATATTAAGGTAGCAAACATTAACAATGATGTTAACAAACTGGCTGAATAAACTGAGCTCCTGTTTTGTATGAGTCTGTGCTACAAGTGTTATTTAGTGATAATCCTAAATCCTGAATCCATTTGTTCCTGTTGAAAACCTCTCAGAGTCAGCCTGGGTTTACCGAATATTGAACGTGGGTGAGCATCTTCAGCCTGGCTTGGCTTACTGTTTCATTTTTTATTTGGAAGTGTATTTAATTTCTTTTCAATAAAAAGAAAGAACAGGGAATCCAGGAACAGCTCTGGAGTACATTTTATGTTTTAAATACACATTATGCAAATGACATAACACAGGACCAAGAGGCATTCTGTGTTCAGTTTGTCTTATCCCTTTGACTCCATTACCTTATTATGTGGCGCCAAATCCCTTCATAAAGCGGCATGTGGAATGGTGGTGGTGGGGACTTGGACAGTGTTGATGCTTCTGCACAATGAATGAATGACTCCAGGGCTTTTTTCAGCTGGAACTTGACAGAACTTAGTTCCAATACCTCTCAGGTGGGCACCATTGCCATTCTAAGAGAAGGAGGGGGGTGTTCATGGTGAGTTCCAGGACTACTTTTTCTAGAAAAATAGCACTGAATGAATCCATTTTTGACCCAAGCTCTTTAACCATTGTATAGTGCAGTGTTGGGCAGTCAGAAAGCCAGTCCAGCCACCCTTTCAGTGAAGGCCATTGCTACTCTTCCAGTGTTGATATCGATGAGTTATGGATGTACGTTAAAAACTTCTGAATGAAGTGAATGAACAAATGAAAAGAGGGTGGGGCAGGGCAGAACCCACTCCTCTGGGCTGTGCCTCCCATCTGCAGGTTGTGAACAACAGTAGCACCTACAAAATTACTTTGATTGGCTCCTAAATTGGCTTCTCATATATAAGGTTAGCACAGATTAGGCACACAAAGCCAGCCACTGCATACAGAGGGGTGAAATCCAGACCGCTGAAGTGCTATCCTTGAGCCTGCTGTCTCTTAAATTGTGTTGCTGCCACCTTGTGACATAAGATCAGTACTCCATCTGTGGAGCACAATCTTCTCTGTGTTGTTTTCATCTGCCTTTATGCTGGTAGTATTAGGGGAGCAGCCATATACCAGTGTGCTCTTAAGAAATGGAGGGCCCTGAGTGCTGTCTCTAAAGTTGACATAAAATTAAAAAGCTATTATATCTTTGTCACTGTGAGGACGGCTGAGCTTTAAAATACCTGGAGCTTTGTTTCATGATTAGTAATCTCGCCTAGGCATATAGTAAAGATGACTTGATAATGTTCTAGTGTGTTTTGCCAGCAGTACTGAAGAACCGGTTAGAAACCTGGACCATTAACTTGCCTTTATCTCCATCCAGGGGTCAAGAATTGGTTGTTTAATGTATCCGTTGTGTTAAGGACATTCCTGTTCTATTAGTTCATCAGTTAGGGTATCAAAAGCCAAGCCTAGATCAACAAAGGTTGTGTACAAGGTTTTTTTCTGCCACCTACAGCTTATCTGTGACTTGAATTCTGACGGCTGAAAGAGCTACCTATTGCAAAAGCCTTTCGTAAAAACCATCCTGTTTTACTGTAAGGCCCAAGAGTGACATTTTCCCTAAGAAGTAAAAAACCAGCTTCTTAACTGAAAGGGCAGGTAGGCTAACTGACCTGTAATACTTTGAGTCTTGGGAATTATTCTTCATATACAAGCACAGTATTTTACTCCAAGCCACACGGGAGCCTGTTGTCATAGAGCCTCTTAAATCTGATGACAACTTCAGCCGGGTTTGGCGATCACATAATGACATTCATAAGCTTGGAGGAAGACTTTGCATCATACTTCCTCATGCAGGTCTGGTTAACAGAGGTCTTTCACATGATGTGTGAAGGGGCAGTCGCAGATCTGTCACATGACCTCCCATCACAAGGCTTTTTCATTGGCACTCATGAGGTAGTGATGAATTTGCTCAAAGGAGGAAAGGGGGGAATTTGTCCACTTTGGGGTAGAGGATATGAATGGAACAGTTTGTGGTAAAAGCAGCTAAAGAGTGGTATGTCGGCATACCACACTCACTAGGTGGTGGCAAGCACCAGGAGCAATCTACATTTACAGGGTCATTTTTCTTGAGAGTGGGCTGATGCTGCTCTTTAACAACTGTTTAATCATTCATTCTTGGAGTATTCTTTCCATTCCTATATGGCAGGGGTATCCAAAGTGATGGCCTGCAGATGTTGGACTACAACTCCCATCAGCCCCAGCCAGCATTACCAGTAGTAAGAGACGATAGGAGTTGTAACCCAACATAATCTGGAGAGCAGCACATTGGCTACACATGCTATAGGAAGCACTCAGATTTACAGGGTTAATTCCAGCGCTGGTCCTGTTCAGTAGACCCTTATCAATCCATTTCATTGCGCCTGCTCTGGATAGGACTTAGTTGGGTACAACCCGCAGTGTTTAAAACAATACCCTACTCTGAGGACTTAAGCAAATCCAAATAACTATCACCCAAGATCTAATGGGGGGGTTGGTTGGTTGGTTGTGATCAACACTAGAACTGTAGTGAACCTCCTTGAAATTCATTCTTGATAATATACTGAAGTATTTTTAATATCTTTATTTGTAAGCAGCTTGGATCTTCACAGAAAATTGGGGTATCGTTTTAAGTTTACTTTATTCTTTATAACAGCCCAGTAATCTGCAAGTGGGGCTTGACAGGAAAGACAGAAAGAGGCACTGAGAGCAGAGCTTTTGACAACCAGGCACCCTCCAGATCTTTTGGGCAACAACGTCCCGTCAGTCCCAAACATCACACTAGCTGGGGCTGGTGGAAGCTGTAGCTCAGAAGATCAGGAGGGGCACCTGGTTGGGGAAGTCTGCTTTAGAGAAACGGAGCTCGGAAAGAGATAGATGCATCTACGAAAGCAGCCCGTGTTAAGCATCCAAAAGGAAAGTGACTAAAATGACCTTCCTGATTTGGGGATTGTGGTGATGTGCAAGTGTATTCCATTTAATAAATTCACTAATCAAAAATGAGCAAATCAGTGGAAAACCCTATTAGTAAGCAATCGGATCACACCAGAGAGACTTCAAGCCCCTGGATGAATACAGAGCAAGCTGCTGAATTGCTAAGAAGGACATTTTATGTTGATTGCAAAACCAGCCAGTCAGAGGATCCATTGGCTTTTGTCAGAGACATATCCCGGGTTGTGGGGAAATCCAGAACATTGTCTTAGATTTTTCCTGCCACCCAGCAGAAACTCCACTGGGCTATGGCCAGATGGCCTTTTTGTGGTGTTGCTTTATGTGTGGAAGGAGGGGGAGGTGAGGAGGTTCTGCCTTCCCAGAGTTACCAAAAAGGATGGGAACCGAAAATGTTCCCAACCTTTTTTCATTCTTTTGGGGGAAGCTGAGACAGAAGAGACGCTACAAATCTCTCACTCTGTCCCCAGGCTGCCGTGCATGTGGATTTACACATAAATTGTTCTTGGAAGTGACACCCAACTTTGTTCCTCTCTCACAAAGGGGGCATTTTGGGATGAATGTCAGCTCATGGCTTTGCATACCTGATGCTCTCTCCCCTCAGGATGCCTCCTCCATCCAGATGAGACGTTCCGTATTCATTCAGCCCCAGTCCTTTTGTGTAGCTGCCCTATGAAATGGTTTGTGACAAGGTATTCATCTTTCCCCTTCGTTTACAGCTTCATTTTAGCCTTGGCAACCTGGCTTAGCAAAAGACAAACCCTTCATTCATTATATCCCTCTCTCTCGGATTGGGGCTTATTGCACTGTTTCTTGGAAACCTCCCTTTCAAGCAGTCCATAATCCTTTCTCCGAAGGAAGCATTAGCTCTAGCTGAGTTAGTTCCCTTTTACAGCTCTGACACAAGTGTATTGGGGGGGGTGTTTTTATACAAGAAAATGAATGCTGGGGTTGTTGGGGGTTTTTTTGTTGGGCGGGGGAGAGAAAATATCTCATCATGCTGTGTTGTATTTTGTTTCAGAGTTAACTGGGAGCGTCCATTATATTTTCAGGCAAAGTATGTAGGGGCTTGCAAGCTTATAAGAACATAAACGTTGTGATCACACTGATCGTCCTCTAGTCTAGCGTTCCCTTTCCCAGCCAGCAAACTTCCGGACCCTCCAAAGGAGGTCACGGAGAGAGCAGTGGCTGTTCCCAGTACTATACAACTTTTAGAAGACATCTAAAGGCAGCCCTGCATTGGGAAGTGTTTAACGTTTGACGGTTTACTATGTTTTTATATGTGCTGTAAGCCGCCCAGAGTGGCTGGGGAAACCCAGCCAGATGGGTGTGGTATTATTATTATAATTAATTAATTAATTATTGCTGGGGATTTGGGATTTTCTGACATGGTATTATCCAGTTTGTGTTCCACACACAAAAATCTGACCCCTTGCCATCCTAAATATACTGGGTTCTTTCAACTTTTCCTTACCAAATGTAGGTTCCAGGCTCCAGGCCGATCGCCCTCCTTTGCGAATGCTCCAGTTTTGCCTTAAAATATTTTTTTTTATAAAATATTTATTGAAATTTTCAAAGTGTTACAACATAAAATAAAAGCAGAAGAAAATACAAAATAAAAATAGTTAACAAAGTAGAAAAAGAAAAGAAAAAAAAACCCTTCCAACCATACGAATACAAATTCAAAAATAAGAAAAAAAGACAGAGAAAAAAAACAAAAATACAATTTAAGAACATTTAAAAACAAATTCATTATTCTTGAATCCTCAACTGTCATTACCTTCTTTCTTTGACCTCCTCCTCCTCCCTTTCTTTGTATCCTAGTTATTAATTATCCCAGCAAATCCTTTCCATATTTCATAATATTCTGTCATTACATTACCCTAAACAGTTTTAATCTTATCTTTCTATAAGAAAATAAACCTTAAAGCTTAAAACTTAAATCTTATCCTTACCAACTTCTCATAACCATAATATTCTTTCATAATTCTTTAAACATCTTTACTAAAGCCGAGTAATTTCATTCCAACATTTTTCTGACATTCATCAATTTTATAAAACAGTTCTAATGGTAGAAAAAGAAATACAAACAGATCCAATCTTCATCCAACGTCCCTTCCTCCTGGTTCCGGGTTTTGTCAGTCCTTATTATCCCATCGATCTGGCCCATTAACCTGGCAACCTTATATCCGAGGCCCTCAAGTCTCTTCCATGTCCCTTTCGCAGCTCTTCTTCATATTTGTAACTGTATTTTCCCTTGTCTCCTGCTCGTGGTAACTCCAGCTTGGCAATATTTTTAACCCTTCTCGACAGATCAGCCCCTTTTCCATATTCAGCACTGAATTCCATATGGTATTTAAAAGCATGTTTCAAAGACCCTCCAAAATTAAGAGCCCCCACAATCCCAAACATCTCACGGCCCATTGCCAGATTTGAAAAGTCCAAACATCCCAGCATAGGGGGGGTCAATCCAGCCCCCCATTTCCAAGCCATACCAAACTTTTTCTTTCCAAATCTGGCTTTTTCCAAGTTCATTTGTCAAATCCGAAAACTCATATTCCTATTGGGCCTGTTCTGTCGGACACACTCCTGATTTAATTCCTGGGTGGGCTCCACATATTTTCCCACTGTCTGTTCAAAATTTCCCACTGCCTGTTCAAAGTTTCTAGTCGAAGTCGTCATCAAATTCACCTTCTCATGTAACTGTTCCAGTAGGGCATTTGTTTTGTAGAAAGCACACAACAAAGCTTCTGAATACATTGTCCTGCAAGGTCAAATGCCTATTCCCACGATTGTAATCTGTAAACAGCTGCCGGCCCCTGGAGTTAGTTACAGTTATCACAGTCTCCCTCTAGGGGAAAACTTCTATTTGTTCTTGCAACAAAGTTTCCTTTTGAGATACTTTGTCAATATTTGTTCCTTTGAAATGCGAAGGAAAACAGTGGAATCACTATGTTTCTCTTCTTTAGCTATCTGTCAAAAACGTTTGTCTCTGGTCAATGAACTTCAAACGTCAGTCCTGACACCCCGCTCCAGGATCAGGACGGAGGAAAGTTGCTTTACTTTAAACTCACTTTAAACAGTCCAAAAAGATCCCCTTCTTCTCCTGCTGTCGAAGGGGGGTTCCACAATTTTAAATGATGAAATCCAATCCTTTAAAAGCGATTTTCTGAGCTCTAGTTTACGTTGTCTTTGCTTTATTCTGTCTACAGAAGAACGGAAGGCTGACTTCCTGTTTAGACCTTCCCGTTCCGTACCAAATTGAAATAGATTTTTAAGATCCAATTCCTTTCTGCTCGCAAGTCCCCATCTAATGTCCAGTTGTTCAAAGTCTAAGTACTCACGGGTGCTTATTTTAGAGTCCAAATTGTCCCAGGAAAAGGGCAGCACTCTCCGGCAACGGCTATGCAGCTTCGCTCCACGGAAATAGCAGTTGACTCACAGCACCGCGCCACTTCCCCCTCTTCACTTCGGAGCCCGTTAGTGGGTTCCTTAGCGAGTTGGGGGGGCGCTAAAGGTGCCCGCCGAGTCCCATGGTCACAGGCTTCATCCGCCTGTGATTTTTGAAAGGGTCCCCGCTTCGCCGTAGCGGAGAAGACCCGTTTCCCGCGGAGCTAGTCCCTCCAGTTCAGAGGGAGTCCGCCATTGCCGATGGCGCCACCCCGGAAGTCAGTTTTGCCTTAAAATAAGGTGCCCAGAACTGGCCACATTAGATGTGACCCGATATCCAGGTGGAGGAATAAAGTGAGGAGGATTTGGAGGCGGGGCATATGTTACCCTCCTCCTCAATCCCTGACGTTTGTACACTGAAGCTGAAGCTTTTAAGCCAGTGATGTGTTTCTTGTGCGTTCAAATGAACGTGTTTAAGAGGTCTTTTTGCAGCTGAGAAACCTGTGCATCCTATGAGGTTTCCTATGGCAGGGTGGATTCTAAATGGGTTCAGAGGAACATGTAAAGGATCTCCTTTCAAGCCATCCCATTTGACACAGGAAGGGTGGGGTGTTAGGGACAAGGCTGGAATGTGTCCCCTGGAGCCCCTCCCAGCAGGTTCTTTGAATACTTGAGTAGGCCTATTGTTTCCTGTTATCGGCATAAAGAGGGGTTGGAAGCACCAAACACAGAAAAAGATGAGCAGGCCATAATCTCCTCCTCAGACCCAACAAATCCAGCCTCTGTTTGTCTTTTGCACCTATCCCGTTGCAAAACCTTCCTATTTGCTTGCCCTGATTGCTCACTTTCAGGAAACGGGGCAGCCTTGTGACAGATCTTGATTGGATTACCTCCAGACTGTCAATATTTTGCTGGAGGAATTCAATTGCATGCCAAAATTTAAGTTTGCACAATTAAAGTGGATTAAAGCACTCTGGTGCAACAAATCCAGTTTCAAAATACCCACACTTTTTGTTGTTAGGAAAGTGACAGGGGAAAGGATTCTAAAAAACATGATATTGATTTATGGGAATGCTCAATAAACATTCTCATCATCTGAAGGAGCTCCTGCTCCAATCTATCCAGCTATGTCACAGACAGGATTTATTTAATTTTTAAACAAATACTTTCAGGCCACTTTTCCAAGCAATTCCTGAAAGCTGCTTATGACAACAACAACTCCTCCCCCCCCCCCAAAAAAAACCAGAAATAGGAATATGAAAGATTAAAACCTCAAGCAACTCATCTGATCCAATCTGCTCACAAGGAAGCCAAGAAAACATTGCCACTGTACAAGCAACAATATATATCACTTCTGGAAGACCAGTTGAGGAAGAGGTCATTGAGGCCTCCTGAAAAGCCTGCAGCCTGGGCAATGGCTCAGAGCAGGTTAGAAGGAAGAGAATAACTCCAACCCTTCAAACGTAGGCAGGGTGTGTGTGTCCTCTGCTCTGCATGAAATCAGACCCTCCAAGCTTCAACCACCTGTGATATGTATGCCCTGGTAATGGGTACAACAGCCTTGGAAAGAGATCCTGTTTGCAGTTTCGAAAAACCTTTCAAGTGCCCAAAGCCTGCCATGTCTATTTAAATCAACAAATTGGTGGAGGAGAGGGATATCAGTGAGTACAAGCCATGATGGCTATTCTCTGCCTCCACATTCAGAAGCAGCAACACTTCTGAATGCCAGTGCTGGAAACCACAGGAGGAGAGAGGGCTCTTGTGCTCAGGTCCTGCTTGCTGCTTTCCCTTGGAGGCATTTGGTTGGCCACTGTGAGAACAGGATACCAGGCTAGATGGGCCATTGGCCTGATCCAGCAGGCTCTTTTTCCATTCTGATGTTCTAAATTGGTTCTGGAGACAAACGAAGTTGTTGTTTTTTAATCTAGCTTAGTCCTTTTTTTTAATGTACCTAGTTATTACTCTCATTAACAGGATTTGGTTTTGACAGTCTGCCAGGCTCAAGAACAATCAGTTCCAGGGAATCCTTGTGCAAACCTAAGGAGTCAGCAAGCAGAATGCCTCCTGGGTGATTTCAGAGTTCCTGCCTTGCATCACCACCACTGCTGTGCAGTATACATGTGTGTGGAACACCCCCTCTCTTTGCTTGCAAGCCAGATCCATTTGTAGCCACGGGCCCTTTGCCATGGAGTTCTGCATGTACAGGAAAATAGATCTTCATCTTTGTAAACCTCTGCAGCAGTCGCCGCCGCCTCTGCTAGTCATGCTTACAATGCCTGGAACAGAACTTTATTCTACTTGCTGAGCTATTTCTTGATACGGTTTTGCACCCCGATAACCCACATGGCCCTGTGTCAAAAGAATATCGAATACTTTCTTCTTGCTTCCTGAACTGTTGGCAAAGCAGAGGGCTGTGGCATCGCCTGTTCTCTGTACATTCCTTACAATATGCTAGTTATAATCTACAAAGCCCACAGTGACTAAGGCATAAAATACCTTTCATTAGCTCTCATTCCAAGCTCCCACACGGGGGCTAATTTAATAGCCACCTGTGCCTCTGTTTCAGAGCAGAGAGCAAATGGAGAGAAGTTGTGCTTTGTGACTACTTAACACCACCCCCCAATAAAACTCTTCCATGCCATGGACTCTTTGAATGTCTTTCTGGACCCCCTCTTTGGCTTTGTCAGAAATGAGGCCAAATCTGATACATATTTGCAGGAAATGTGCACATGCTAACTTGTGTGACAGTACTTTTCATCAATTTATTATGTCTATTTGTTTTGAAAGTTCATCGGGTTTATCGAGGGGGGTTAATTAATATCTTACACTTTTATGTAACCTGGACTTACATTTTTAATTTATTTTTTTTAAGTGGGCTATAAATTTTGGCAGGGTGCTGGGGTTAGCCAAAACTTGCCATCCTGCAGCTGCAGCACGTACTACCTTGGAAAATGGCAGTCCAGCCTTTGAGGTCCTTAATAGTCCCTGCTGTTGGTGACCCTTTCTCAATTGCAGGGGAAATGACAAAATAACTGCTTTGTTTGCAGGCGTAATTACGTGCCGCTCAGCCCCAGCTCTTTCCTCGGGTCTCTGAGTCAGGGCGACGGTGTGCAATTCCAGCTCTGATTGCCATCTTGATCTTCTTAACAGGATGCGACACACCGGAGACAGACAGACTTAATTGCAGTGCTGAGGCTGCTCCTGCACCAGACAGCCAGAAAAACCTGTGAGGCCATAGAGAGACTTAGGTTTCATTGGGAGGTCCCTGCATCCACGCAGAAGGCCTGCAAAGACATGGAAGGCAGGGAGCGGCAGGCTCTCCCTATTCAAGAGGGGGCAGTTGGGGGCAGCTCGGCTTGGCAGGTAGCCTGGAACCCTTCCAGGAATTTCAGCCCCGTCTATCTGCCCCCTCCCCCACACCTCTCACACAACATTAGTTTTCCCACTCACACAAGACACTCGGATTTCTCTTGAGGCCAATGATGGCTGCATTGTATGGTAGACCTCTGTCTCTCCTCGCCCCCCTAAAAATCAGATCCACCAATCAGACTCTTTGGAGCCCATTTTCAGTCTCTGGTAGACAATCTGCTGGAAGCCTAAACGCTCATATGCACCCAATGGGCAGTCAGGCACAGCCCATGTCTTCACTCTGCAGTGGAGTCATAGAATCATAGTTGGAAGAGACCATGAGGGTCAACCCCCTGCAATGCAGGAACCTTTTGCCCAACGTGGGGCTCAAACCCACAACCATGAGATTAAGGGTCTTGTTCTCTACCCGATGGAGCTATCTTCCTTCATAGAGAAAGCCTAGGCAGGGCTTCTGGGCTCCACACCCATTTTTGACCCCCTTTGCCCTGATGGTTCACGTTCATGAGTTCTTCAGGACACAGTAAGAGAAAGCAGCATCTGGCATCGTCCTCCCCCCTTCTCTGTTCTTCTTACAAAGAGAAAAGGGAAGTAGGGACGGGATGTCCCGTCCAGAAGGCACATGCCAACATCCCTGAGCCAATGGCTGCCTCTGTGTGGTGGGTGGCGGCAAACTGACCTCCCAGTTCCAGGTAACTGCAGGGTAAAGTCAACACAACTGTTTGTAGAGCGTTTGACACAGAACAAATGCCAGGGTCAGCTGGCTAATAATCTGCCTGGCAGAAGCTGTGACCTTTGGACATCCGACGTGCAGGATACAGCCGGAAGTTTGGTGAGAGTTAGCAGCCCAGCAGGCTTCTGAGCAAACGGCACTGGGAAGCGTTGCATGTGGGGGTGGGGATAGTCATCAGCAGGAGCTGAGATGGCTAATTCAGAAGCCAGAGAGAGAGAGAGAGCTGGGGACATTGGGGGCAATGGGACTCAGCAGGATGCCAAGCTGGGCAGTGGGCTTCCCCCACCCCCACAAGCCTGATTCCCCTCT